TCTGCCGGCCGAGTCTTAGAAATGTGTTGTGTTATAAAAGTTGCAAGTCATTGTTTATTAGTGTTCAAAGGTAGTTACAGATCATAGATAATTCCTGGTCATAGATACTTACTGGCCATAGATAATTAGTGGCTATAGATACTTACTGTTCAGAGTTACTTATTGCTCATAGTTACTTAATGCTCATAGTTACTTAGTGCTCATAGTTACTTAGTGCTCATAGTTAATTGCTGATCATAGTTATTTACTGGGCATAGTTACTCACTGATCCAAAATCACATCTCGCACATATGTGCATATGATTCCCAACTGGTTCAAACATCCCCAGAACGAAGTGACTTCTGCCGGCCGAGTCTTAGAAATGTGTTGTGTTACAAAAGTTGCAAGTCATTGTTTATTAGTGTTCAAAGGTAGTAACAGATCATAGATACTTACTGGTCATAGATACTTACTGGCCATAGATAATTAGTGGCTATAGATACTTACTGTTCAGAGTTACTTATTGCTCATAGTTACTTAATGCTCATAGTTACTTAGTGCTCATTGTTAATTGCTGATCATAGTTATTTATTGGCCATAGTTACTCACTGATCCAAAATCACATCTCGCACATATGTGCATATGATTCCCAACTGGTTCAAACATCCCCGGAACGAAGTGACTTCTGCCGGCCGAGTCTTAGAAATGTGTTTTGTTTCAAAAGTTGCAAGTCATTGTTTATTAGTGTTCAAAGGTAGTAAAAGATCATAGATACTTACTGTTCAGAGTTACTTACTGGTTGTAGTTAATTACTGCTCATAGTTACTTACTGCCTAGACGAAGGGACAGACGGACATGGCTAGATCGACTCAGCTGTTGATGCTGATCCAGAATATATATACTTTGTATGGAGATGACTCCTTCACTGCGTTGCAAACTTTTGCCTGAAATTATAATACCCTGCAAGGGTATAAAAGTGGAGCAACCTAGATTATTATAATCAGTATTCTGGCACATCTTTGGCCAGATCTTGACAACTTCCTCTGGTAATTGCCATACGCCCTCGCCCCCAAGATTGCCATAATTCCTAGGCCTGTTCTTGGCTTGGGTGTTGTTGTTGCTCCGCTGACTATGCTAATGGCCCACTAGCATAGCTCTTAGATGGGCCAAAAGCTATTTGTTTTTTTTTTTTTTTGTTTTGTGTCTGCTGCGATTATACATGGTGGGCACATGCCAAACCCACACGCTCCACTGGCGGCTTAACCGCCGCATTACTCATGCTCATCTGCCCCGGAAAATTGCCATAACTGGTTCTTCCCTGTCCCTTTCACCCGCCATTTCCCCTCATTCATGGGATCTTTGGTGCAACGCTAGTTTCTTTAATTAAAAAGGCATGAACTCTTTGTCGAGTTCCGGGACCTAAGCTAAACCCTCTGCCCCCGACAGAGTTCCCTTTTTCGGCCAGTAAACTCCAGCTGCCTTGCCACTCCCAAAAGTCCAAAGTCAGAGTTGAAATTTTTGTGTATTTTTTGTCTGCAATTTTTTTGTTTAACAACTTTCTGTGCTTGCCGCTAAGAAAACAGTTTTTTAACCGTTTTTAGTTTTCAGTTTGGCAAGGGGTTGCGAAGTAGAGCAAAGGGGTTTTCAGTTCGCCTTCAGCTGCAGCTGCAATTTCCGTGCCATTTATGCAAACTATTGTTCTGGCTCTTGTTTTTTTTACACTTACCAGTTTTGAACTGAATTTATGTTCACACTTTTGCCTTCTGCCTTTCGTTGCCTTCGTTTAAGCCGCCTTTTCGGCCTTCTTAGGTGACTGGAATGACTTTCAATTAACTTTTCGCTAGAAACTTTTAATTAAGGGAAATTACATTTCTTTTTGCTGCAATTTTAAGGTGTTGCAATTACGACCATTGTAATTCTTATGTAAATACAATGGCAAACAATAAAGTGCTAAATTTGTTTCCCTTCTTTTGAGATTGTTCAAAAGTTTCTAAACTAAAATTGCATTGGAAAAGTATTATGAAATTGAATAACAGCGATACAAAACTTCTGAGTGCGCCCAAAAATAAAAATAAAACAGGAACGGCAAACAACAAAGTATACAATTGATTTACCGGGAGAGTGCTTTCAAAAAGTTTTTCATATACAAAACTACAAATTTGGTCGGTACGACGGGGCCACAAAGAAAAGCAACCAAACCAATCAATACATCAGAGAAACCAATTTTGAGATGGTTTAAAAAGATCGTAGACCATTGAATACCTATTAAATAAATACCTTTCTCTATTATTATAAATATATAGATTTGTATAACAAAAAGAGAGCCTTGCTAAATTAAACAGATTTCAAAATAAGAAAGTTTAACATAATGTCTGTTTGAACCAAAAGATCTTTGAGATTGTAAGAGATAGCTTTGTGATAAAAATGTATGTTGAAATGTACTAAAACTAAACTACTAAAATATCTACTGTTTTGCTTATAGTCTAAATCATTAGTTGCAAAATAAGCCCTTTATATCAACCAAAATACTCATAACACCCATGAATCCTTACACAAAACGGTAGCAAAGATATCCATTTGCATTGAGCACACTCGCATGGCGCTTCGTGTTGCAACTCTGAACGAAATTAAGCTTCCTCACAGGAGGCGTCAAGGGGTTAAGAGGCGTCTGGGGGGGCTAAGAGGCACAAAGGAGCAAGGAAATCGGCAGAGCGAAAGGCAAAGTCTGTGATGAAGGACCCAGAGCGGAGCAGTTTGGGACAAGGTGGCGGAAAAACTGACTTTTTGAGTTGGGTTTTTCTCTCCCGCTGCTGATGTGTAGGGGGATTCACAAAAAAGGAAAGCAGACAAACACGCACACTCACAATCAGCACAGGAAGCTAGCAGCTAAATGAGAATGGGAAGGAAAAACAAGAATAAAAAACAATTTCCAACCCAAAGTTATATTGTGCAGAAAAGCAGGAAAGTGAATGCAAAAGGATAACATGTCAAAAGGAACCGAAGGATGCTACGTGTTGACTCCCAGATGAAGGTTGTCGTCTATTCAGGGCCATACAAAAAGGTTGACAGAGTGCAATTTGCAATGGAATCAAATTTGCCAGAAAACTCTTGCCTTGCCAACATTCGTGATGACAGCAGCACGAATCGCTTGGGCTATCTCAATCTATCTTCTAACTAAATACACAGGGGAAAATTCAAATCATTTTCATAAAATCAACAAATAAAGGGAAGCGTATGAAGTCATAAATAATATAAAGTCATAACAAGTGGGAATGTATTTAATATTAATAAATCAATTGGGAACATGTAACATGATTTGAGATTTGTGATTTAGGAAACTAAACCTTATTTGTATACTTTATTGTATTAAGTGTTCTAAAACATTCTGCTTTTTTCATCTTGCTTTTTTTTCTGTTTATTTTGAAGTTACTTATTGGCTAGCAAAACGCTTAAGATAACTCATGGACAAGATGCCCACAGCAGTTGACGTTTGACTTCCTTGGTTTTCCTTTTTTTGCAGGAAGTTATCAGGTCCCATTTGGTGGTCGGAAGGAAGTGAAAATATTGGGCTAATTGAAATAATTGAAGGAAACTTTGCTCAAGAGCAGAGAACTTTGTTAGTATCAGAGATCTCTGAATGCCTTGTGGTCTCCCCCTTCATATTTTTTTTCATTTGCTGTCCCAGTTTGAGCCCTGCCTTAGTTCCTTAGTTTTCTCAGTTTTTCCGCACGCTCTGCACATTTCTCTGTGGAGCAAAGCAAAGAAAGAAAAAAAGGAGAAATAAATGGGTCTCTTGGGACAGAGGGAAACGTTTAAATTACCATAGGAGCATGGGAATGGGATAGCGTCAAGTGTTTTGCATTTTCCTGCTGGTTCTGTTCCGTCCGGTGACAGGTGGTGGCGATGGCGATGGTTGTGGCTTGTGGCAACATCACTTAATGTCCGCTGATTAGCATACGAGCTAAGCTGTGGAGCAGCTCCCTCCGCTCGGGTGCAACCCCTTTGGCTAATTGAAACATTTGAATCGAGCTGAATGCCCGCTGAATGACGATGCTGCTCGTCGGAGCTTAAATGCCTTTTAAATCTTAATTAAATTTAATGCAGCAGCCGCATATACAAATGTATGTATGTAGCTGCCAGAGATGGTGTTTGCTCTGCGTGTCGAATAGAAATAAAAACCTAAATTATGACAGAGGTGAATAAATCATCATGTGCTGCAATGGAAATGGTTCATTTTTGTTTTTACAATTCTCTTAACTTGGTTTGCTGTAGTTTTTCTCTTTTGTTTTGTTTGTTTTTGCTTGTGCATATTCCACACATTTTGTTGTTTCTGTTGTGAACTATTAATTTATTTGTCCGCAGAGGGGGGAGGGTATAAAACACCATCATTGGGGGTAAAAGTTTATGCCAAACTATGCAATAATTTCATCATTGCAAAAAGTTTTGTGAACATGTGAAGAGTTTTTGATTGAGTTTTCAGTTTGCAGAGTTCGGTTAAGTTAGTTTGACTTGCTGCTGCTGGCTTCTGATGTGCTGACGTAGTTGGAGATCTGAACTTTGGACTTTAGCATATCTGAAGAATAGAGAAATAGGGTTCAATATGTAATTGTTTAATTCCTTCGAAGAGCAGCCGTTTAAAGAGACTTGCACAGCACCTAAACACTGCCTTGTTCTTGATAACGTCTCGCCAGCATTTATGCATTCCTTACACCAGGCCCCAGGCACTTGACTCTCCCTCGTCCCTGTTATGGTTTAATTAAATTCTCCACAAAACTTCCTGTCCTTTCGTCCACATGAAATATTCAAACACTTTTGCGGTAAGGACAGCCCAGACAGGATTAGTGCTGGGGGAAAATAGAATCAGAGGGAGGATTAAGCTGGGCATGGAGCAGGGGAAGCTGATCCGCTTTGCTAACTATGATTTTTTGGTTGCTTCTTGCTAACTGAAGTTTAAACTATATTTTTAAAGCACATTTACTAGGGTTTTGACTAATATAATATAAATGAATTCCATTTTACAGATGTAGAACACACTCAAGGCCAGGCCACGGAAGCTCAGCAGCGAGATCTTTCCTTGGAATCCCAGTGAGGGACAAAGATTTGAACCCAACTCTTCAGGATGTCGTTTAAGCTCTTTCGCCGCGGCTCAGCTCGCTGCATTGGCCTGCTGTCGGCGTTTGTGACAATCCTACTCTGCCTCTACTACATCTCCATTGGTCAGCCCAATCCGGCGCCCGTTTCCGAAACCGGAGTACCCACGGCTGCGTTACGGGGATCGCCTTTGAATGGCCTCATTGGTTTCAATGTGGGCGGTGGTTCGCCCTCGATCATCCACCAACAGCAGCTACAGAAACTGCATGCGGCCGTTGTCTCGAACCAGAAGAGATTCCCGGAGCAAGCGGACGTAACCAGGGAGTTGCCATCCGAGGAGCCGCAGTACTCCAACAGCCAGTGGGGCGACAAGTGCTACGAGCTGATCGAAAGTAACACGAACATTACGGCGAACCAGGAGCACAGCAAGTTCGATTTCCAGCCGGAGTGGATGCGCTCGAAGGAGTACTGGGATCGTGGCTTCGAGGAGCGTTTTGATGCTCAGAAGAAGGACAAGCAGCGGCCTCCGCTGAAGATAATCGTGGTGCCACACTCCCACAATGATCCTGGCTGGCTGAAGACCTTCACCAACTACTTCCAGTCGGATTCGCGGCAGATCCTGAACCTCCTGGTGACCAAAATGCAGGAGTACACGGACATGACATTCATCTGGTCGGAGATCAGTTTCCTGCAGCTGTGGTGGGACCAGGCACATCCCACCAAGCAGCGAGCTCTGAAGCGGCTAATCGATTCGGGACGCATCGAAATTACCACCGGCGGCTGGGTAATGACAGATGAGGCAAATGTCCATGTTTATCCCATGTTGGATCAGTTGATCGAGGGCCATCAGTGGCTGAAGAACAACCTGAATGTTACCCCGAAGGTGGGCTGGTCCATTGACCCCTTCGGGCATGGCAGCACGGTGCCGTATCTGCTTTCTGGAGCTAACTTCGAGGGAGCCATTATCCAGAGGATTCATTATGCTTGGAAGCAGTGGTTCGCCCGGCAGCAGTCGGGTGACTTCATCTGGAAGCCATATTGGAGGAGTAAAAGCGGAAAGCCTAGTGAAACTGGTTCCCTGCTCACCCACAACATGCCCTTCGATATTTACTCGATCAAGGGATCATGCGGACCCCATCCATTCATCTGCCTGAACTTTGACTTCCGCAAGATCCCTGGCGAGTACACCGAGTACTCTGTGAAGGCGCAGTTCATAACCGATGACAATCTGGAAGCCAAGGCACAACTCCTCCTGGAGCAGTACGCCCGGACTGCCTCGCTCTTTCCGCACAATGTGGCTCTTATTCCGGTGGGCGATGATTTCCGCTACAACAAAGAGCGTGAAGTGGACCAGCAGTATCAGAACTACAAGAAGCTAATTGATCACATCATGGCCAATCGGCGGCTGTACAACGCTGATATCCGCTTCGGCACGCCCAGTGATTACTTCGAGGCCATCAAGGAGCGCATGAAGGATCACAGTCCTGGTTTCCCGAGCTTCAAGGGCGACTTCTTCGTTTACTCGGACATATTCTCGGAAGGCAGGCCGGCCTATTGGTCGGGATACTTCACCACCCGTCCCTTTTACAAGCTATTGAGCTCTGAGCTGGAGCACCACCTGCGTTCTGCCGAGATTCTCTTCACGCTGGCCTACAACACTGCTCGTCAGGCGAAGCATGAGAATGCGATTAAGATCTACGAGAAGAACTACGAGCTCATCATTAATGCCAGGCGTAATCTGGGTCTATTCCAGCACCACGATGCCATCACTGGAACCTCCAAGGCTGCGGTTATGCGCGACTATGCCATGCGTCTGTTCGAGAGCACCCAGAACATGGTCAAGATGCAGGAATCCTGCCTGGAGCTGCTGCTCCAAAAGGGTCAGCCTCGCCACCATGGCTTCGTGCTTAGTGAATTCGAACGCGATAACTTTAATAAGCTGCCACGAAAGATGCCCATTCAGATGGTCAACGGAGATGATTCCACTCCTACAGCTTCGGCAAGAGGAACTGGAGCGGGTGGTGCAGCTTCTACCGGATCTGTGGGAAGCTTTGTGCTCTACAACTCCCTGGCCCAGAAGCGCATCGAGATTGTCACACTGCGGGTGCAGCATCCCAATGTTAAGATCCTCAATGATAAGGGTGTGGAGCTAAATCACATCCAGATCAATCCGGTGTGGAACATCACCGAGTCCTACGAGCAGGAAGTGGGCACATCCGTCTCCGGAACGATGGGACGCATTCGCACCTCAACCCGCCAATTCGAGGTGATGTTTGTAGCCGAGTTGGAGCCGTTGTCTCTTACCACGTATCGCGTCCATGTTGATGAGGTCAACTACAAGCGGAACATTGCGACCATTTATTGTGATGAGTGCACGGAGCCGGCGGCTGCGGCAGCGCCAGGCTCCAGTCCGCCGGGAGAAATTGAAACCCCCCCAACTCCAGTGTTTGAGGCGCGTGCCAAGCCTGCGGGTATGTTGAGATCTTTATTTATTCGATTATATGTTACTGATATATTTTCTGCTCTCCAGGCGACATCCAACTGGAGAATCCGCACATGCGCCTGCTATTCGACGAGAAGAGCGGCTTTCTCAAGACCATCACGCGCAAGAACCAGAAGAAGGAGCTTCTGAAGCCGATGCAGTGCAATATCAAGTTCGCTGCCTATCGCAGTGCCCAGTTCCATTCGGGTGCATATCTCTTCAAGACGGATCCCGAGCAGAGTGAGGCCGAGAAGGAAGTGCTTGAGGGCTACACGGACGTGCGCATTATTATCACCTCGGGACCGATTGCCAGCGACGTCACCGTCATCTATGGTCCCTTCCTGGCCCATACGGTGCGCATTTTTAACACAAGAACCCACCTGGATGCTGCTATATATGTCGAAAACGATATTGACTTCGAGCCACCACCAAAGAACCGGGAGACAGAGCTGTTTATGCGACTGATCACCAACATAGACAATATTGCTCAAGCGCCCATGCAGCGTGATCCACTTAAGGAGCCGGCGGAGACGGGACCCATGCCCGAGCTGCCGATCTTCTACAGCGATCAGAACGGTTTTCAGTATCATGAGTAAGTAAAGCAATTTGCTGATGGAGTTGGAATCCAAACTAATCCTTATTTCCCCCTTCGTTTAGACGCATCAAAGTGCCCGCCATTGGCATCGAGGGCAACTATTTCCCCATAACCTCGGGCGCCTTCATCCAGGATACACGTCTCCGTCTAACCCTGCTTACCACTCACGCTCAGGGCGCAGCCAGCTACGAGCCCGGTCAGCTGGAGGTCATGCTGGACCGGCGCACGTTGTACGACGACTATCGTGGCATGGGCGAAGGCGTTGTGGACAGCCGGTTGACGCGGCACAAGTTCTGGCTTCTGGTGGAGGATCTGCCAAGTGGTCAGCAACCTATCCAGCCACCCAGCTACAAGGTTCTCAGCCAACAGGCCCAGCATCTGGCCAACGCCTTACGCTACCCGCCAAATCTTTACTTTTTAAGTAACCTTGACCAACCGGAACTGGCCCCGGCGCTGCTGCCTCTGGTCAGGCTTCTACCGAAGGGAGCGTTGCCCTGTGACGTGCACTTGACCACCCTGCGCACCCTCTCCGATCCAGAGCTGCAGCTGTTTCCGTCCGCCTCTGCCTTGCTGGTGCTGCACCGGCAAGGGTTTGATTGCGGCGTGAGCGCTGGCAAGGAATTGGGTATACAGGCTGTATGCCCGCTATCCAGCAAGGGTTTGGGAAACGTGCAGCTAGGTCAGCTGAGCTTGATCACTATCGAAGCCACCAGCCTGACGGGGATGGAAAAGAAGCCGTCCACGGATAGCCTACGCTTACGCTCGCTGGCTGAGGTCAGTTTGGAGCCGATGGAGCTGCGCACCTTCAACCTCACATTCCGGGCAGAAGTGTGAGGAGGCAATTACGATGGCATATTTAGCTGAAATATTTATTGTATTTATTTGTGGCTTAGCTCTAATTTATTAGTGTTAAGCGCCAAGTGCAAAGTTCTTAGCTTTATTTAGTTCTCGTCACGTCTACTACTGTCTGTCTGCAACAGTTTTGAAAGTACAAAGCACACGACGTATACATAGAATAGGGTGGGTAGATTTTGTATATTTTTGTTTGTTTGTTTAAATAATCCGGAAGGATAAGGATTGAGGATAGAGAAAGAGGTGAAATGCTGATAAGCTTCCTTCCATTATAATTTTATTTTTGAAATCTTTCATACCCACCCACCCAAGCATACAGAAAGACAAGCCCAAATGGCAGCCCGACTCCATGCAATCAATGCCCAAAGACAACCACTTGACTGCTGAGGGCCAATCTTACCAAGCTTCATATTATATTTACCTTAACTTGTGCAATAATATAATGATCTTGAACTATACTTGAAACAATGGAAATGATGATGCAGCTATTAGCCTAAGGATTAGCTTGATTATTTTAGATTGAAATATTTAGACAGCAAACTAGACAAATTTTCGTTCTCGTTTGCGCGTTATGCGTTCGCATCGATTTTTTTAGACTGATTAGCCTAAAAGCTATTGCAAAATTGGCTCGTACATATTATAAATCTCATTCGCTCTAACACCGATCCTAACCCTTATCTGAAACTAACCCAAAACCAAGTATATAGCGATTGTAAAACCTTAAATAGGCTATAAGTTTTAAATGAGCAGACGTAGCAATGGGGTAGGAAAAATATAAGCCAAATATTACATTACATTCACTAGCAATATTGTACATAGTCGAATAGGATTTCCAGGCACGGTATATATAGAAATATATTAAATAGCTCCACCTAGACATAAGTCCCCATCTCAACTCTCTGGTATAACCTTGTATACGAGGGTCAAATAGTTACTACTGATGACTACTTACAGAATCAGACATAAACATTCAAAGCGAGCAAGACAAACACTTTAGAAAACCCGTAAAGTAGGAAAAGAAAGCAGCAATGGATAGAACGGATTTGTGTATTTATTTATAAAGAATCGTATTACATTTAAATTTTATGGATACAAGAAAATAAAGTATTAAATGGAAACCAATCAAAGTGTGCTTTCTATCTGTTGATAAGATGGGTGTTCTTTTTTCGTATTTTTACACACCATTTTTATTTTTAAGCCCTTAAAGCTTTAGTATAGAAGACATATATCGAGAAGGATATGGTATATCTACAAAGTTTCATATTTGAAATTGTTAAATAAGGAAAACTATAGCATTTAACATTAAATATATTTTCTAAAAGATCATTAATAATATAGTCTGCTAGTTAGCTAAATAGATTTATGTACTGATCTGGGAAACTGGGAGGTATAAACATTTGTTGGTTAGTGTAACTACGTTAATATTTAAGCTCCTGAAAGTATGCTTTATTTTGCAAAGAACCCCATTGAACCGGAAAAGGAAATGACTAATGGCAGTTGGGAAGCACCTTAATTACTCTTAATTATTGATTTAACAATTAGATTGTCAAGTTTACAATATTTAATAGTAATAGGAAATAGAAACTAGGGCTAGACATAATGCCTCATTAGAGCAATATACTTGATGGGTCACTTAACTAATAGTTAACAACAAAATAACAATCGCAGACGAGTCAAATATTTACTTGGGCATTTGTATAGATTTTCGCTCAGTCCGGAACCACTTCGTACATGTTTGCGCCCTTCATGAGCAAATAGCCGCCCATGTTGGCCGTCTCCACCAACTGACTTATGCCCGTCAAGATGCCAGCCCGCGCTCCGATCTCCTTTAGCTCATCGAACTCAAAGATTCGCCGGCCCAGCGCCGCCGATCGTCGTTGCAACATTTGCACAAAATTGCGCAGTTGAGCGCCTCTTCCACCTCCTCCTCCGCCGCCGCCACCGCCTCTAGCTCCAGATCCGCTGAGTCCGCGCCTTAAGTCGCCATCTGGCTTGAGGCTGGTCTGGGTGATACTCTCCGTAAGCAGGGCGATCACATCACGCACATGCTGTGAATTTACCATGTGCGACAGATCCAGGCGGGCACGTGCCTGGGAAAGGTAAATCAGGCCCAGAAGTTGTCTGCAAGTGGAAGTAAGTAAATTAAATTAGTTAATATTAAATATTTATTTGATTATTTCTATTGAATTAAATTTAAAACATTTTCTTAAGGTGGAAGAACACTATAAAAGAAGGTTTGACATATATAATAAATATATTTGTCGGCTATAAATATTTTTCTTAACTGCCCGATAAAAGTATAATCTTAAATCAAACAATATTCATGTGATATATTATAAACTTTTAAATACTGATATAAAGCTAATAAAATTGCAATTTAATAGAATGCTTTTATAGAATGGCTGGCTTTGTATGATTCTGCAAAAATGGAAATTAATGTGCTTAGCTATTTTAATAAATTCCGATCCCAGATAAGAAAGTGTCTCCCATTAGCTTTTAGTTTTAAGTATATTTGGAATTTATACCTATACCAATAACAAAAGGTAAAATTTATGTATGTTCATAAGGTTTTAGTAATTATACCCTTGCAGGGTATTATAACTTTAGTCACAAGTATGCAACGCAGTGAAAGATCATATTAAGTATATATATATATATATATAAGCATTAACAATTAAGTCGATCCAACCAAGTCTATCTGACTCTCCGCTTCTATATCTATCTCTGTGTCTCTCTTTCTCTCTTACTCTTTATCTAAATATTTTTCGGTATGGGTATCTCTCTCTTAGTATCTCTGAGACAACTCAATGTCTCTCTCTGCCTATCTCAAGAGATATCTCTTTCTCCCTAGCTCTCATTTTCTCTGTTCTCTTTGCTTGGAGAGTATAAATACAGGCACTACCGTTGCGCCGACTTCATTCTATGCGCGGCCTCCCGAGTGTTAACATCTATAGTAATATGCAAGTGATAGTGATTGCCCTCCGACCCTAAAAATATCATCTGACCAATGCAATACATCTAGATAACCAGGAAGAAGCTCACATCGATGATAAGCCTTATTCAGGTCACCAAGATTATAACTACGCACTGGTAGGAATCGGACAATGACGAAAAAGGGTAATCGTGTGTCTTCTACTGCGGTAAGTTTTAATCATGACATTAATATTATAAATGTATATAGAGGCTATAGGTGGGATCAGGCCTAGGTCAAGCGTTAAAATAGGGAAAAATATTAATGATTTTAGAAGTTGCAATTCAGTATGTAAACCTTATAAAAACTAACACAGAAAACCTATCCGAATTGATATTGAAGTTTTTTGACTTAATAATAATAATAACATTGTTCTTTTTTAAATTTATTAAATATTTATATTATCTAATAATATCAATAAAGACTAGTTTAAAGAATGCGAATATTTTAAAACTTTTTGATTGTGTCAAAGGTCATATATGTTCCGATTCGCCGTTCAGTATTGTCCCTGGTCAGTTTAGTTTTCAATTAACACATTCATCATGTATTCATATTAATAAATCCTATTGCTGGTGTGACAATTATTACAGATTCTACTGTTTATTATTTTTGCACTTTAATAGTGACTAGCTAATAACTTAGTTAATGCACATAAACTTGTACAAATGTTTAAATTAAAATCAATTTATACGAAAACTAGTTTGTTTTCTAGTACTTTCTATTTACTATTGCAAGGATTTGGTATCTACCCATTTCATAGTGACTCGGCAATATTTGTTTAAATAATGTGCATAAAATTGTTGTGTGGAAAATGTCACTTATTATAGAAGCAAACACGGTAATTAAATAGTGAGAATATTGAACCTGGTCAGTTTTGTTTTAATTATTGCGTCAATCCCACATAGGTTGTATGGTAATTTAAGAAATACTTTGCGATAAATCTTATTTAGTAATATATCTTATTATTCAAATACAAGTATGCTAACTAATTTCATTCAAAACTATTTGCTCTTTCGATTCAACAAACTATTTACAACGTAGTTCTCGTCTAATTAATCCATGTCTGGCTTACTACCGTAAGTGGAAACCAGGTTTGTTGCCTAAGTCTTTTGATGTTTTCCCCTTTACAAAAGAACTTTACAAGTCTTTCCTAAATTCTTTCATATTACAAGCCTAAAAGCTATTATTAAGGGCCCTAGGGCCTAGTTCAACATGATGTGGTCTACGTGACCTCCAATTAATTTCGCATTTTGTTTTAGTCATGTTTTACGCTGTTCAGTTAGAATTCGATGTCCAAAAATGAGAATATTCATCCCATATTGACCAGGTGGATTAGAAACAAGTTTTGCCAGTAAAGAGAATATCGTAGGGCCCAGATGGCCCTAAGTTTATGCCCAATAACTGATAAACAACATGGAAACATAAATCAGTTGGATGTGGGCGACTACCTAAACCACCAGCATCGAACATGTTCCAACGCATTTGGGGGCTTTTGCGTTGTTTTGCTTTATTTTTCGGAAACCAACGCATCTCCGGTTGAGTTTTGAAACCTTTTGCCGATGTCCGAACAACTGCATCGACGTCGGCGGCGGCGGCAGCAGCGGAAATCCAGAGCTCCAGAGGCTTTAACCACACACATCTGCCCCGGTCGGGCGTCATTCTCGGCTCGCCCGTTGTCGCAAGCGGATCGGTTCGGTTTGGTGTTCAGCCATCGAAAGCTATCTCTATCTACCGGGAGTCAAGTGCATTTCCTAACATCGTTGGCATTGGCCGGAGAGCAGCCCCTGGGTCTGGTCACCGGAGCATCCGTCGTGCATCGTGCATCTGCATCTGATTTTTGTTTCACTTCATTTATTTCGTGTCGCGTCGGTTGATGTGCTGTTGATGAAACTCCGACTTCTTCTTATTGTTAGTGTTGCATTTGATTGGTTGGTATATTAAGCCCACGGCAATTTCTGCTGTTGTTGGGTGACGAAAGTGCCAAGAGTCTTTCAAAGTCAATCAATTAGAGAGTGCATTACGGTTGTCGATTGGATCCATCATTATCGCCATCATCATCATCATCATCATCCCACGATGATGCTACACATCGTGCTATTGGCGTCGATTTTAACGGCTGCGCAATGCTTTCAATTAAACAGTAAGTTCCAATAATAAACTATTGTAGACAGGATTAATGTTTCGTGTAAAAACCATTTATGGGCCATAAAAAAGATTCTATTAATTGTAGGGTAGGATTTATTTTATGGTTAAATGATATAACATTGAGTGAGTCCCATGTGGGATTTTCAGAGAATTGAGAAGAAAACACTTCTGGAATAAAATTTCCCTCAATTCCATATAATCCTTTTTTAAATACATTTTTACATCAATCTCTTTTGTTATTAAACATTTTGACCTTAAGATCTATTCATAGAACAATATGGATACAATAATTTAATGTAATCACTGAATTCTCACCTGTTGAGATAGGAATGTGGGCTATGGATTTTGAATTGAAAACCACTCAATTACCGTCTTTAAGCGCTGGAGGTTAAATTACGTATTGTCTAATGCAAATACGGAAATTGAACACTTAAAAAAAAATTGAACAAATATTACGTTATGCAAATATAACGTGCTTAGATTACATGCTATGCTTGTCAATCGATATAAACTAAAGATCAGTTGGGCTTGGCAAATAGTTTAACCCGTTCATCTGTCTGCACCTGCTCCTCCCATTCGCGTGATCCACGCCAAAAGTTCCCCTTCCGAAATTGGAGGCACACAAAACATCTCCAGACAACACCAATGACGGAGCATTTATTTTGACAATGAAATTAAATAAGCCAAAGTGTCTGGTATTTGACAAGAGATTGAGGCTGCCTGCCAAGCACTTGACCAGCGAAAAAATGGCAAAACAATTACATTGTTTACATTTGTTCGTTTGGTTTTTTCCCCCCGACTCAGAATAGAGGAAGATGCTGCCCACAAATAAATGCAAAACAAGTTCGAGTTCGGGTTGAGGAAACGTGTTTCCTTTCACTCGAATTAACTGCCATTGAACCCGGCAACTGGTGGTTCTTCTGTAGAAAAAGGATCTGCCCAGTGGAAACTAGTTTTCCCACTTAATGAGCTGATTCATCTGCTGATTCCTTATGATGTTTCTCGATCCGTCTTTTACCCTTCTCCTTGCAGTGACGCAGTTCTACGAGATGCCTTCGCTATATGATTTCGATGACTACGATCGCTGCCTTCAGGAGTACGATGGACAGGCCTCCACTTACTGCTTCGTCCGGGCGGAAGTGCAGCCGGATGAGTCAGTGGCCGCCTGGCGGGCCATTGCCGAGATTTCGCAGTACGATCGCCATCACCTCGATCATACCCAGCTCTACTTTGGCCTCTGCCTGCGGGAGTGTGAGGCATCACTGGCCGATTTGGATAAAAGTGAACTGGCGGCCCTGGAGGCCGGCCTGCTGACGGGAAATGCAAAGGTAAGGCCACACAGAGGTGTCACCTCATTGGAATCGATTCAGCCCAAGCTAACGATCGATTTAATTCAATCGGCAAACACTCTGATGGGCAAAGATATATACATATATTTCAAAACTAAGGCGTCGCTTGTAATGGCACAGAAGCTGTGATAACAGAGCCAAAGTTTATTCAACTTGAACTCACAACGTGAGCTACAGATTAACGGATCAGTGGCTTAGTTTGAAAGGGGTTTTCATTAGCTTTTTTTGTTTCTGTTCCAATTTAATGGATAATTTCAAGGGCAAGACTGATTTTCAAAATGTATTTAACACATTTGTTTTAAATGGGTCTTCAGCCCCCATTGTAGACGCCTATGTTTGAACGCTTGATCTTCATCTTCATTACCTATAAATATTGCATAAATTACAGCCGGAAAATCCGCTGATTAAACATGGGATAGCTGGGGTAATGGCTGCTGGCTGGAGATGAGAGATTGGGCATCGTGTGGCCACTGCCATTGATGCAGTCGCCATCAAAATGCATTTACGATGGCTGACAACACAAAGGGCTTGTGTCGTTGAGTTGACTTAGGCGTTGGCCAAATGGAAATGGGCAGCGAAATCCGATCCAATTCGATCAAATCACACGCATTTCTTTCAAGGCCAAGGGCTTTGGTATTTTTATTTTTATGATCCCCTCATGGCTAAATCTCTTTGGACAGGTGAACGTGTATCTGGACTTGTTCTCGATGGAAGCAGAAAGCCGCCAGCGGCATCAGCGCCTAACGAATGCCTGCCTTAATTGGCGGCTGCAGCGTCAGGGATTCGGCTTGATGGCCAAGAGCGTGGTGGAGTACTGCAATGAGGCGGGACGCCAGGTCGAAGATGGTAAGTAAGCCACAGTTATAAGAATTATATCAATAATTTTAATAAGCTTTAAATGTATTAAATTAAATTCCATGGCAATGTGCCAGTCAGCAAAGATTTAATTGATTGCAAATAACAATAACAGGTATTATGAATTTAATACCTTGATTGCCATAGCTTTTCAGGGTGCAGTGAAAGGTCGTACAACTTACGGACTTAAGAATTGAGCTGCTTTAACAATTACTTAAGAATAAATTGATTCTCCCATAATTTCATTCATTCTGGTTGATTCTATTTTAGAGCTAAGCAGCGTGGAAAATTACTCGCTTCTATTATCTGAAACAACTCTTTCAATTATCATACTATCATTAAAGCAACCTGAAATCACTTAATGCATTTTAAAGGATTAAAGATTGAATTTTAACTGAATTTAAGATAACAAACAATGTTGGTTCATCCGCAGATGCCTGGAACCTTTCTTTCTATGCAATTCTTGGTGCCCTTTTGGTTCTGGCCTGCCTGAGCAGCTTGGTTGATCTCCACCTGAAGCGGGGGCGTCACGACAAGATGCTCAAGGAACGGGACCACTACAAGACGCCGCCAAAGAGCACCACCCAGCAGGTGCTGCTCACCTTTTCAGTAGCCCGGAATTGGTATCGCCTCAACCAGGAGCCATGTGGCAAGATTGGCCGCGAGTTGCGCTTCCTTGACTGCTTCAAGTTCTTTGCCATGTTCATGGTGATCTTTGCGCACACAAATTGGGTGATTTACGAGAGTGCGATTAGTAATCCTCAAGATCCGGAGCGGATGCTTCACTCGGCAGCGGGAACGCTGCTTGTCTCTGGATCCCTAATCACAGTCACTTTCTTCGTTATCAGCGGTCTGCTCTTGACCATCAACTGGTTGGCGGCCACTCGAACAATGCAAACTAAGAGAGATACCTGGAGCTTTGGCCAGTATTCCTTGCTCTTTGTGAAATTCAACGTCTTCCGATACATCCGACTGACCATTCCCTATGGCTTTGTGCTACTGATGAGCGGCGTTTACTTTGATAACGCTGGTGGCCCAATGTGGAGACACATCTTTGAGCGGGAGCAGCTGTCTTGCCGGCGCAACTGGTGGACAAATCTCCTGTACATTAACAACTTTGTGCGAACGGACGAGCGGGTAAGGATTGCTATGTTCAAGGTTTTGAGGATTGTAAATCATTTAATCCCTTCCTACAGTGCCTGCTCCAGGGTTGGTATTTGGCAGCGGACACACACTCCTTTATGCTGAGCTTGGTGGTGCTGATGCTGGGCCATCGGTTCGCCAAATGGAGCAAGCAGCTCTATGCTGGTGTGTTGGCTTTCTTTGTGGTCCTTCCAGCAGTTCTCACCTATGTTATGGACTACTATCCCATATTTATACCCACGCCACAGTAAGTAATCGGGATTAAATATCCATAATCCGCATAACTCACTCATCTGTCCAACTTGAACAGAACCCAAAAGGACTCCTTTATCGGAGATCGTCAGTTTACCGAGTTCTACACTTCGTCATTGATGAACTTCGGTTGCTATTTCTGTGGAGTCCTGGCCGCCTTGGTCTATGATCAGTTATCCTTAAAGCAGTATAAGCTGCGGGAGCTAAAATGCTTCCAGCTACTCTGGTTCACTCTTATCCCGGTGGGGGTCTTGTGGATGTTCAGTGCCCACCCCATCTTTCAGCATTATTATGTGGCTCCGTCCGCCATTTGGGGAGCCTTGTATGCCGGCCTCCAGCGTAATATCTGGGGCTTCGGTCTGGCCGTTTTTATAGTGGGCATGGCGGGCAAGGTGGGATGTGAGTATTGATTAAAAGGTTTCTTTGGGGATCCATCTTATTGATATTTACATCTTCCCAGGGATCTTCCGCAAGTTCTCCTGTCTGCCGATATTCCGTATCCTGGGTCGGCTTACATATGGAGCATTTATTATCCACCTTTTGGTGGCACGAATTGTCTTGGCCACGGTGAGGGAGCCACTTTACTTTGGCACTGGCATGATGGTGAGTATAACCAGGGCTACCAAAGATATAACAAGCAAATATATCTAACTTTCATATTACTTTATCTCCTCAGTTCGCTTTTATCTTGTTCACGGTTACCGTGTCCTATCTGTGCTCCTTCCTGCTGGCCATCTTCCTCGAGTTGCCCGTCTCCTCCTTCCTCAAGCTAATGCGATAGTCCCCAAATAGCCTAACTTATAGATTACTTTTAGTTAGAATAAGATAACATAACTTAAATAAATCTACCAATGTCCAAAAGAGTGCACTCACCCCGCTCCAATTTGGCTGGAATCACCATCCTCCAAGGCACCGCCACCTTGAAGCTCCAAAAAGAATCGCAGGATGTCATGGCAAGCCTCCTCTTTCAGCAGAGGACTCACTTGTTGGCGGGCATAGGAAAGGAACTTCTTGATCAGAATGGGTGGCAGCAAGTCCAATTCCTCTTCGTCGGGTAGCAGCTCCAGGCGCCTGTCCAGATCGTAGTCCTGCTGCATGATGCTATCATTGTCATCCTCATACTTAATCGAATTTTCATCCGCTCCTGTCACATGGAAGGTGGCCTGGCACATGGACTCACTCATCTTGGGTTTTAGTGCGTAACGAGCTGCGATCCTCGCACGCTTTTTGGCACCAGCATGGAGTGCCCTCACGTGGGCGGTAAGAGACATGTCCCTGTCGGCCGATGGCTTGTCCAGTAGTACGTAGACGAGGTGAAACTCCCGCAGCAAGGCTGGCGCTATGTGAATGTTCTGCAGCAAGTAACGTCCTTCGTCGTACTGTCCCCTCTGCGGATTCGCGCAGGCGATAACCGAGGGTTTTGCCGGAAAGCAGGCAAAGGCTCCAGCCAGCGGTAGGTTAACTTCCCCCGATTGCATACACTGAAGCAGTACCGCCTGCTTGGAGGCCAGTTTGTCCACATCGTCGAGGGTACAATGTCCGCCACCACTGGCCGCCATCAAGGCACCGGCCTGCAGAACGCGCTTGTTTCGCCCAGCAAAGGTCACACCTAACCGCTGGGCAGACTGGGCTCCACGTTTTCCGCTTACGTGGGCACCACGCTCCGTGATCTGTGAGCAGCTCTGCAGAATCTTGGTTTTGCCGATGCCGGGATCTCCCACAAGAAGAACGTTAATGGGCTCGGCTTGATTCCCACCACTCCCTCCGAGAAGAGAGAGCAAACAGGCGGCCTTGGGCAGTTCATGTCCATAGACCTCCGGGGCAATCGATTGAACCAGGAGCTTGAAGCTATTGGGCTCTGCATTGATCACTGCAATGGCTTCCAGATCGCGCTCGCTGAACTCCTGCTGGATACACGCCGCATCCTTGACACTCACCGCCTTGAGATACGGCCGCATCTGGTTAGAAGAATCTGCTGCATCCTCGCCCAGTTCTTGCAGCTTGAGCACTCCGGTTACGACGACCTCCTGGCCCACTCGAACCGCATCCACTAGATCGTGTCGCAGCTCCACGTCGATCTCTCCTGGCAGGCTGCTCTCGTAGTCGTGGATCTGTGCCAGGCTGGACTCCTCCAGGCGAATAATCTGTCTAACGGCTAGCCGCGTGTACGGGGAGCTACGTAGCGCTAGAAACCCTTCGCGTGCCACACACTCTTGGCGCTTGCACAGGTAGGGACGGGGCTGAAAGGTGCCGCGCTGACGCATCGCCATCACCATCTGGCAGCGGGTGCAACGGAAGGCCTGCCAGGAGAGGTTGTAGCCCGGCTCACCCACGTTGCTGACGGTGCCGCGCACGGCGAACAGTGAGTCGACACGGTTGTGGCTGATCTCGCTCATCGGTTCCACGGGCACAAAGTTCTCTGGTCGCACGTAGATCTTGCGCACTTGTGTCTGTAGTGGCGGAATGTATTGCTCTGCCGTGGAGACAACACTCACTGTGGTTTCGTTGGCGTCCAAAAGGTGGTTCGTCACCACCGTGTGCATGGCCAGCGACAGAGTGGATAGGGTGCGCAGTGGATGCTCTCGCAGATCGTCGGCAAGTCCAGGCCACATTTCCATCAGTTGGGCATCCTGAAGGATACCGTCGGCGGGTAGGATGAAGAAGCCTCTCTCCCGGGCCCGCACAAAATCGTAGTCGTGCGGATGGCGTTGGAAATGCGCTTCCACGGCCATAATCCTCCGGGCATGCTCATTGCCCTCCTCGTAATTCTCACGCAGGAAGTACAGCCTCCAGCCGGGATACGCCCGCGGATTGTCCACCGCAATGGTCTGCACCTGGAGTCCGTCCTCCGGAGCGGCATAGTTTTCGGGCCGCAGGAAGCTGCAGTCCAGATTGGCATCGCGACCCCGCCTGCTGGATGGACGGTTCCAGCCTCTCGGTTGCCGGTTAGCAGTTGCGGCTGCACCTGGGTCAGGTTGCTCCTGATTTGGTTCTCGGTTGCCGCGCGCAGGAATCACGCGGCCGTTGCGTCGAAAGTAGAAGTATGGGCGGTAGGCGCCGCCGCCACGACCACGCCCACGCACAAACCGCGAAGGAGCCCGGCCCCGGGTAGGCGGAGGATTCATTTTAACTTTACAATGTTTTCCAAAAGTTCGCGCTTCTGCAAAAAGATGGTCAGCTGACGATAACCAAAAAACCCATCGGAACTTAAACTAATCGATTTCCTAATGAAAATAGTCGGTATTCAAATTAAAAAACGCTTAAAGTTTCCCAAGGAGATGTATGGTTATGGCATTTTCCTTTATTGTTATGAATAACAATTTAGTTTGTCTTAGTTTCCTTGGTATTTCCCAGCACCTGCTTTAAAATATCCAACTGAGCAGGCAGAAAGTGCCCAAATACATCTGATAGCTTGTCCTTGACCTGGACAAAAGTATCAAGAACCAACTTCAACTCCACATCATTGCGCGGCTTTAGGGCATTCAGTTCCTGTAGTAGATTGGTGCACTCGTCGAGCTTCATCACCTGCTGCAGGTGAAGATCCAAAAGCTGCTTCTGGATGGCCTTGATACCCTGAATTTGCTGGTCCAAGCGTAGCGGCATTATAGCAATGGCCGCCACTTGCTCCAAGTGCTTATTGTCCACCTCCGTAGAAGGAAGGACAATAGAAGCTGTATCCTTCGGTCCAGTGGATGTTGTATCGACGACTTCCAATTCCTTAGTCTTTGCAGTCTCAGGGGCTTCCTTCGGGACAGCCTAGCATGGAAATCGAGTTCTTGCTAATTTTGGAAAAACGCCCCCATTTGCCAACACTCACCTTCTTCTTTTGGTTTGCCACCGACTTTGTTTTATACTTCTTACCCATTTTTATTTCAGGCTTTATTAACTATTCCAATCGCTATCAACCGTTTTCAACAACTGAATGAATCTGATTGAAGGAACGACTGCAAAGTCAGCGTCACCTTTGATCAGTAAAACGCTTATAATTTTATAAATTGACACCTGCGCTCCGGCATCTATGATGATGGATTTTGTGGGCCTCTGCTTCGGAATAAGGAATTCAGATTGAAGGGACAGTGGTCTAGGCGGGCCAACTGCTTGACCATGTCGTCGAGCAACATACTGCTCCGCTCGTTGGGACCCCGGATGAGGCCGTATGCATCGGCATTGGCGATGCGGTGCTGGAGGAGAGGCATGTATGGGCCCTTGAAGTGCGGCTGTCCGCTCGTGAGCTCCTTGGGAGGCTTTGTTGAGGGCAAAAACGTTGTTTCGACCTTCGGAACACGACCGGATGATGCCAAATTCGGTCGGAATTTGGGAGTGCGATAGCTGAACTTTCTCTTCTTCTCTGCCTCCACAGAGTGACTGTCACTTCCGTTCTCGGGCTCGTAATGGCTATTATAAAAGCGGAGTCCATAGCTCACGGGCTTGGGCTGCAGTTTTAAATTACATTACAATTGAAATATAGTGAATATGGATTAAAGACTCACAGCAGTCAATGTAGTCCGCTCCACGCTATATCTGTCCTCGTCCGAGAAATCTTCTCGTTCATCCTCAGACTCGGTTGGCACTCGGTCGCTGGCTAGTGGCACCTGTGGAACGAACTCCGTGGCACTGGCCCGCAGAGTGGCGACAGATGTCGGCGGAGGAAGTGCCACAGCTGGAGTCTCCGGAGGGCTTGGCGTTTCCAATTCTAGACACACGTTTTTATATGCCATTTCCGTTTCACTTGACTAAAAGTTAGTTGACCGGCAATATTGGCCTCGTTCTGCAAGCAATTTTTATTCTAATCCCAAGAGTGTATGGAATTCAAATGCCAATCCTTTTGGGTGCGTGGCATACATCGAAAATTTAGTTGTCAGTTCGAGATATCCAGCATATTAATTGACAGTTAAGGCAAATTTTTGGCTGCCATTCTAGTGTTATTTAAAAAAAAACTTTCCAAAAAATTTTTAAATTGTGTGCCAAAATAAGTGTGACCTATTGACATTAGTGAAAAAATTTCTATCTCCGGTAATTTATTCGGGATTTGTTAAATAAACGAAGGCAGCCACACTGAAAAGCAGGTGGGACGACAACAAATCTGTTTTTCTCGAAAAACTACAACAAAGTCAAAAAATCATTAAAAACATTTGTTTAAGCGAAGATTTTTACATATTTTAGGATGCCGGTGAGTAGCTCGCCCCTATTGATTGCAGCAGAAAGGCAGGAGAAGGAGTTTACTTGGTTCTCTCAGTGCTGTTGTGCCCCCTGCCAGGCTAGCATTTTTTCGGAAAAAGCTTTTCTCTTACCATTTTCCATGCTTACAGGCTTACCACTCGAAAATAACAGAGTCCCGCCATCAGGTAGGTAACATGGCCATCCTGCCGCTGAGGACTCAGGTGCGGGGACCAGCGCCCAGTGCCAATGTGGAGAGCGACATCATCGATGAGTCACTGTACTTTTTCAAAGCCAATGTATTCTTTCGCACATACGAGATCAAGGTGAAGCCGGGCTTTTAAACTCAGTAGGCTTCGGTCAACTAATAAGACCTCTTTCAGTCCGATGTGGATCGTGTGCTCATCTACGTGACGCTCTACATAACCGAGTGCCTGAAGAGACTGAATCGCTGCACCAACAAGGCTCAGGGTCAGCAAGACATGTACAGCCTGGCCATCTCCAAGTTCGACATACCTGGCGACGCCGGTTTCCCGCTGAACGCTGTCTATGCCAAACCACAATCCGCACAGGATGCGGATCTAATGCGGCAGTACCTCCTGCAGTTGCGTCACGAAACCGGCAACCGGGTGGTTGAAAAGGTCTTTAGCACTGAGGATGGCAAGCCCAATAAGTGGTGGACATGCTTCGCCAAGAAGAAGTTCATGGAGAAGAGCTTGGCGGGACCTGGGCAATAAACCATTCAATGTGTTCTTTCTAGATGTTAGATTTTGTTTGTAGCCCCAGAAGGCATTTAACATAAATAAATAATTTAAATTCATATTAATCGTTCGTATTACACCGTTTGCCATAATATAAATAATTTCATTTTAGTCTGCGTGATATTTTGCATATTACTGTACAACAACACAATCGGTTAAGACGCAGCCAGGGCAACGATCTTTAATTGGAAAATCGTTCTAAACAAGGAATTCTAAATGTTACAATCAACTTTAACGGTAGAGATGATCGGCCTGCAAGTTGGAGGCTATCTCAGACTCCCACTTGTCGCCGTTGCAGAGCAGCTTCTCCTTGTTGTAGAGCAGCTCCTCATGCGTCTCCGTGGAGAATTCGAAGTTGGGTCCCTCTACGATGGCGTCCACGGGGCAGGCTTCCTGAGGGCGTTAAAAATAAGAAGTTTGAAACCAGTCCTTGCTTAGTGATGAGAGTAAATCAACCACTCACCTGACAGAATCCACAGTAGATGCACTTGGTCATGTCGATATCATAGCGAGTGGTACGCCTGCTGCCGTCGGCACGCTCCTCTGCCTCAATGGTGATTGCCTGGGCGGGACAGATGGCTTCGCATAGCTTGCAGGCGATGCAGCGCTCCTCACCGCTGGGATAGCGACGCAGGGCGTGTTCGCCACGGAAGCGCGGGCTCAGAGGTCCCTTCTCGAACGGGTAGTTGATGGTGGCCGGCTCCTTGAAGATGTGTGCCAGGGTGACGGCGAAGCCTCGGAAGAGCTCACCAAAGAACATGGTGGTCGCCGCACGGTCCGTGATGTCCGCGAACTCCATGCTCAGCTCCTTGTTGTTTACATACACATATCCCTTGGGCACCTCGACGATGTCTTTTGGCTCCGTCCGTGCGGCCAGCAGCCGGGCCCCTTGGCTACCAAACATGCGCTGACCTGTGGGCGAGTCATTTTGCCATTAAACCGCATCTCAATGCATTGCCGGGAAGCTTTAAATGTCGATTTTAGTCCTTTGTTTTGCTATGACATAAGCTTACATAACCTCACTCGACGCGAATTTTGAACGTTTCCACAAATCGCGCCGAGAGTGGGAGCAAAGCTTTAGGAATCCCACTAACCATTGCGCGATGCGCTGAAAATTCGCATAGTTAGCGACATGTTTGCGGCCCAATTAAACTAAAATTGCCAAAAAATTGTTTTGCTATTGAATTTCCCCGAAATCGAAATAAGAACTGCCAACCTGCGAAACTTCGGTACTATCGATTGGTCATTCAGTAACATCGCGATTGATTAGGAAAATCGATGTTTTATCCACCTTATTTTCAAAAATATATTTCAAAGCAAAGCTATAAGATATAATAATTACCATATTTTTGTTGAAAAATAAAATGACTTCATTAATTTAAAGGCATACTTTTGATATATATGAAAAAATGGAATTAGTATAAAAAATAAAGTTTTAGAGCCATATGGTATAACTTATCGATAATTCCGCGATCACATCTCTGCCATTTACCGTTTTAACTTTGGACGCGGCGACAGAACTTTTTCATAGAATATTGCATTGAATAAGAAAAACATAATGGATCAGGATATAATGGATTTCTTCGATTTTTCGAAGGAGTGCAAGCGAGAACTGACTCCCTACAATGGGGTTATAAGTTCTGACGTGCACAGTATGACCACGGAAACCAATGAATCCAAGGTCCCGAAACGCGAGATAGTGGGCGTCGAATACGCTGAAGAAATCGTGGCCAAGGAGAAGCAGCGCTTGGACGGGGTAAGGAAATCGCCGAGTTTGCTATTTTTGTAAGCGTAACAATAAACACTTTACTCGACACTTGATCAGCTGCTGCGCCATGAACGCTCTCGCCGTCGCACCCTGGAAGACATAGACACCGATGATGAGTGTGACGTCGACGAGGATATTAAGATCCGCACGGATGAGGAGTATTACAAGAAGTACAGGTTCAATCTCAACCGTGACAAAAACTTGCCGATCTACGCCAAGCGCGAGGAGATCATAACGGCCATCAATGCTAATCCCGTCGTCATTCTGAAGGGCGAAACAGGTTGCGGCAAGACCACACAGGTAAGTCTTGCTCAATGTTAGCATATTTGTAACCGAAAGTTTAATGTGAACACATTAATGTGTGTATTTGACAACCTGCCTTTTTCTACCAGCCCTTGGCTCCACATTTTAATGCCGATCGCTCTAAATCGGGGTAAGGCAGATGTACTGTCTTGATATTTTAGTATTGTCTATAGTATGGAACTACATTTGAATTAAATTTGACTTTTAGTGATATGCAGGCAGGTTTTGCAACGCCTTTTCTAGGCATGTCTTCCTATTTTTAGATATTATTGGGGCTATAGGAGCAGTTTTGTGATATGTTGGCAGATTTCTTTTAAGATTTTTCATTGATTGTTTTTATAAAACAATTCAACTACATTGATAGAATCATAGAATTGCATTTGGGTTTTTAATATATTTTAATAATTACTTCCCACTTTACCATAATACATTTTCCGTAATTCTTCAAATTTATTATACCGTTCAATTAATTTTGTAGTCGATGGAGTCATTTCCGACCCCATAAAGCATATATATTCTTGACCAGCATCAACAGCCGAGTCAATCTAGCTAGTTCCGGCAAAAATTTAATTTTTTATATTTTTTTCAAGATTTTATATTCTTTACAATTTTCAAAAATTTGCAAAAATTTTAAATTGAGTAAGCAGATTAGCTTTCCGAATTAAAAAATATTATGTTTTTGGCTTAGATATGAGTTTTTTAAATTTTAAATTGTTGAAAAAGTTGTCATATAAAAATATCGATTTAAAGAATGCGAATAATTCAAACTTAGCTATTTATTAATTTTCGATACGATCCAATAACTCAATTGCAAACTGCAAGGGTATGAAGTTATTTTTTATTTTATTTATTTACATTAAGTATGAGAATTCTTTTCCATACACGAGATTCTGTATATTTAGCAACCGAGAAGTTCCTGAACCTCTTCCTCTGTGACTTCGCTCTCCTCGCCCACAATTTCATTCTCGTCCTCGTCGTCGTCATTGTCACTGAATTCATAAAGTTCGTACTCGCGCTGCACATCCTCGGGCAGTGCCCTCTGGAACACGGTGGCCGAAGACATTCTCCGCTGGTATGCTTCGTTTATCTCAAACTGAACCTCCAGTCCCTCCGACTTAAGCGGTTTCCCCTCGCCGTACATGGCCTTTAATCGCACCTGCTGTCGCACCTCCAGCTGATTTTTGCTTGAGCTGGAAGGACTCTGATCCGTCTCAACCTGATCTGCAGGCTGATTTTTGTTGCCTGCCAACAGCTTCTGAATATCGCCAAAGACCTCCTGCAGCTGACCGAAAATCTTGGTGGGAGGCAGCGCTAGCTGTTGGCCGGGCAGGAGCTCCTTCTGGGCATTGTAGGCTGACTCGAGATCGCAGAATGGTTGACTTGTCATGTCCAGTTCCCGAGCGGCTTCCAGCTCGTAGGCAAGGCTCACGTTATTGGGTCGCTGTTGTTTCACTGACGGCTTCGGCTTCCTGGCCCCCACTATACTCTCCAGCCTGTCGTAGTCCACCAGGTTATCCAAGCCCTGGCTGTAGTCCAATGCTGTGTAGCGGAAGGCCTGGTCTTGCACGAGACGCCAAAACATGTGGGCCACCTGCTGTGTGTCCTTACGCTCTGGGCTCTCCCTGCGCAGCAGCAGTACATAGTCGGACAACTCCTGCCAAGTGCGAAGGGAAACGTCAATCTTGATGAACTTATGTGTCGGCTGCTTGTGGTAGATCACGTAGAGCAAAAAGAATCCTGCAATCCGCTGAGGGCGGGAGGCTTTGAAAGTATCCCCGCAGCTGCGCCGGGAGCAGGCCAACCGCTTGGCCACATGCAGGGCCGCCAGTGTGGTGGCTATCACCTCCGTGTGATTCGACTGGCAGGTAAAGAGGTGCTGCAGCTGCAATTCGCGCCAGCAGCGGCAAAATACCTCGAACTCCAAGTTTTCTCCATCGTTTACCAATCGCTGGAAGCGCTGTACCAGCTCCCAGCAGTCGTCGTAGGTGTTCAACTCCATTTATCCAATATTCTTTATCTTTATAAGCGCATTTTTGATCATTCCGAAAATGTAAACAATCCAGGCTACCGGCAAAAAACGTTTCACAACACTGAATACCGATTACCAATTATTGATAACACTGTATACCGATATACCAATTATTGATAACACTTCAGTGTTGAAAAGCTTATTTTTAAGGCGGTTATTTCAAAGTATGAATTCTTCTTCAGGTCCCTCAATACATTCTTGATGAGGGCTTCAAGACCGGTCAGTACTGCAACATTGTGGTGACGCAGCCGCGTCGGATTGCTGCCATATCTATTGCGAACAGGGTTTGCGAGGAACGCCAATGGGAACCGAGCACCGTGTGCAGCTACCAGGTCGGCCTGCACCGTGAGGTAGGAGAGGACACTCGGCTGCTCTACTGCACCACCGGAATCCTGCTGAACATATTGATAAACAATAAGACATTGACCCACTATACCCATATCGTGCTCGATGAGGTGCACGAACGTGATCAGGATATGGATTTCCTGCTCATTGTGGTGCGCCGCCTTCTGGCAACCAACTCGCGCCATGTAAAGGTCATCCTGATGTCGGCTACGATCGATCCTAGCGGCTTTGCCGAGTACTTTGCCACTAAGAACTCAATTCCACCAGTGATCAGCACCAGTCATGGTCGTAAATACTCGATCGAGAAGTTCTACCGCGATCAGCTGCGCGGTATCAGGTGGAAAGACGATAGGGAAGGAGAGTTCGAACCGCGAATCCATGAAGACGGCTACAAGGCGGCGGTGAAGATTATTCTGGTTATTGACAATATGGAACGGCAAGCGGAAAAGCATTCAGGCATAAGCTACACCGAAGCCATGCGTAATGGAGCCGTGCTCATTTTTTTGCCCGGTATCCATGAGATCGATTGCATGGCGGACTGTATTTCCAATATGCTCAAGGAAGAGTAAGCGAACTTCCTTAATTTGTCCAGTATGTTTCATATAATTTTCTTATTTTTCCCTAACAGTGACTCCATGATGATTAGTGTTGTACGCTGCTATTCCCTGATGACCGCAGACGCTCAGCGGTATGTGTTTGAGCCACCGCCGTCCGGCTACCGTAAGGTCATTCTCGCCACCAACATTGCTGAGAGCTCCATAACGGTCCCGGATGTGTCGTACGTCATCGATTTTTGTCTTACCAAGGTGCTGGTCACCGATACGGCCACCAACTTCAGCTGTCTCCGTCTAACCTGGGCCTCCAGGGCCAATTGTCGCCAGCGCGCCGGTCGCGTGGGTCGTCTTCGAAGTGGTCGAGTCTACCGCATGGTTACCAAGGCATTTTACCAGCATGAAATGCTGGAGTTTGGTATCCCGGAGATGCTGCGCCAACCCCTTCAGAACTCTGTGCTGAAGGCCAAGCAGCTGGAAATGGGTTCCCCTGTTGAGATGTTGGCTCTGGCTTTGTCTCCACCAAATCTCTCCGACATACAAAACACAATACTGCTGCTCAAGGAAGTGGGCGCTTTGTTTCCCACCGTCGATGGTGTTTATAACGAGATGGACGGCGACATCACCTTCTGGGGCACTATCATGTCGCGTCTACCAGTGGACACTCGTCTGAGCCGGCTTATCATGTTGGGTTTTGTGTTTAATTTATTCGACGAAGCGATTATCATAGGTTAGTGTGAAATACATCAGTTAAAAATTTAATTGCACATTTCACAAACTGTTGCAGCTGCTGGCCTCTCGGTGCGAGGCTTGTATATTGACCCAGGACGTAATCGTCAGCTCGAGTCTTTTTGGATGCATTACATATTCGCCGATGATTCTGGCTCGGACTTGATAGCTATCTGGCGCATCTATATGGTAATATTCAAAAATTAGCTGCCTAAAGATGTCATATAATTTAAATTGCCTTTATTTCTTGTAGACATATTTAAATATGTGCGAAAATAGCCTCCAGCAGGATTCTGCCGATCAGTGGGCGAAGCGATTTCATGTCTCCTTGCGATCTTTAAAGGAGATGCACCTTCTGGTCCAGGAACTGCGACACCGGTGTAATAAATTTGGTCTTCGACCAATTCCAACTGACGCCAGCCATAATATGAACGATATGGAAAAGAAGATCATTTTCCAAATTATCATTGCCGGCGCCTTCTATCCGAACTATTTTATGCGCTCCAAAAATGGAAATCCAGAACTGGGTCGTGAAATTTATCAAGTTATTTCAGGCCTCGATCCGTGCCGTACTGTTTATTTCACCAACTTTAAGCCCGGCTACATGGGCGAGCTGTATACTAGGCGAATTAAGGAACTCTTTCAAGAGGCAAACATTCCGCCCGAGAATATGGATGTGACCTTCCAGCCCGGCTCTCAGAAGGTGTTCGTCACGTTCAAGCACGACGACTGCTGTGATAATAGTTCCAAGCTGGTTCGTGTGCCTGGCCGTGTCAAAACCGAAGTCTACAAAGCGCTTAGGATGAGGCTTAACCAGCTAAACCGACCGTTGCGCATAATGGAGTAAGTTCCTTCCATTTTTTCCCATATATTTTCTTTTATGTTTTATATAGTATGTAACCACATTCGCCTTATTATTTTTTCACGTTTTATTTCTTCCATTTTAGACAAACTATTGCCATGAACTATGTTCAGCAGCGCCAGATTGGACAGGTGATCGAGGGTCGTTGGGTTCCGCCTTCAAAGGCTGTGAACGTGGAGCTTCTTGCCCTTCCTTCCGTGTACGACAAGAAAATTACTGGTCAGATTACCCACGTAAGTAGGCCGCTTATCATTATTAGCCACAATTAACCAGGATCGTAACAGATTTACAGCTGCGGCAAGTTCTACTTCCAACCGCTGACCTTCGGTGAGTGCATTCGCAACATGACCGAGGTTTTTAACAACCCGCAACAGCTGCGTCTAAAGGTGACCAATGCGGGTGCCATCACCAAGGGCCTAATAGTACTAGCAAAACGCTGTTCCAACTTCCAACGTGCCATGGTGATCCGACCAGAGAACCAAACAAATCGCCAGCCAAAGTTTTATGTTCGCTTCATCGACTATGGCGACATTGCGTTGCTTCCCATGGAGAAGCTTCGACTGATGCCGGATGAGCTGCTGCGTCAGTATGGGGACCTGCCACCCCGCATGTTTGAGTGCCGACTGGCGCTGGTGCAGCCATCATCGGTGATCAGCAGCAGCAATCAGTGGTCCCAAAAAGCCAACGAAATGCTCGGGTCGCTCGGCAGATGCGGACGGGTCGAGGTGGAGGTATACTCCCTGCTTGATGATGTGGCCGCCGTTCTTATTCACATGCGTGACGGTATTCTCAATGAGAAGATGGTTGAGCTGAAGCTGGCTCGTCGCGCTGACGAAGATTACATGTCCCGAATGGATCATGACTTCCGATCACGCAAACAGCATACCTCCAAGCATTTGTCTTCGGCGGAGCGTCAGCAGATAAATGAAGAGTACTTGCGCTCCTGTCAGTTGCCAAAAGATCTTGATCTGCCACCGCCACCGCTGGACAGATGCCACTCGGTGGTTCTGCTAAAGGGACCCTTTAGCCCCCTGGAGACCACAATGCAATCTACCATTCGTGTGGGCGTGTGGAAAACCGTGAAAATCGATTATAGTTCGGTTAACGCCGTGCTTCTAGATGCCAATCCCCAGGATCAGCACGATCAGATGATAGTTTCCCACGCCACGGTGGAGAGTAACGATGGGCAAACTCTGACTGCCCGTGGCACCACCTTGATGCCGAATGTGCACGGATTTGGAGCACTGATGGCCATGCTCTTCTGTCCAACTATGCAGATCAAGTGTAATCGCTATGGTACCAAATATGTGTCCATATTGGCCGGGCTGGGCTACAATCCGGAGACCTTGAAACCGTACTTTGAGGAGCACGACATGGTGATCAATTTGGATGTGAAAATACTCGAGGACGATGTGCGACTGGTAAGGAAGATGGCCGCTATTATTAATCTTATAGTTTCAATTTAAATTTAAACTTCAGATAAACCAAATTCGCTACAATATTGATAGCGTCTTCTTTAACTTTGAGGGCGAAGAATTTCCCACTATGGGCGTACACGAACGCATCAATATATGCAACCAGCTGCGCAAGCTAGTCTTCCGGTAAGATATCGATATCCAGGTCGTTTATCTAATAATACTTCTATCCTCTGCCTTGAAGTCTCATCAACAAAGATCGCAGCTACATTGAGGTTCACTCGAGCAACGCTGACTACTTATGGGAGAAGTTGGAGGACGTGGAGCCACAGGCGGAGCCGTTTGGCAAACGTTCCATATTCCCCATGCACGCCATTCCGGAGTTGCAGGAGGAGCGCACAGACAGTGTGATGATGCTGCTGTCAAACTGCGAAGAGTTGCACAGCTGGCGCACCTTGTAAGACAGTCAAAACTCATAATTTATTAGTTTTTTATTAGATCAACAATTCCAGCGATGGCGTCTTGAATTCGATGACCTGCAAGCTGTGCAATCAGCTATTAGAATCAGTTCCGCAGCTGCGGATGCACTTGCTCACCCAGCTACATCGCGACCGTGAGAAACAAATTGGTTATCGTGACGAGGACCGTTAACTGCACAGAAATCTACCAATCTATGGATGAAGCTAGTTTTTATTTATTTGAACTTTACTACTGACTATATCCTTACTTTTTCCCTAGTATCTCTTCTAACAATAACTACGAAAGTTAAATTGATATTTAAGTTAAAAGAAACACTTAAAGACTTTACTACTGTCTATATCCTTATTTTTCGCTTTTTTGCTATACGATAACTTTGAAAGTTAATTTGATATTTAAGTTTAAAGAAACACTTGAAGAGTGCTATTATTTCTATTCTTTTCTCGGAAGATATATTCTTTCAATGAACTTTCAAATGTAAGTCCTTAAAATATATTTTCAAATATGAATTTTGACTATAGACAAACAATAAACATTATATACCAAACATTCGTTATTCAAGTTACATAAATAATAGTCCAAGCCCTTGCTGGGATTTGCATGTTCTCCCGTTCTGCTGGGCCTCTTCTTTTTTATTTTAGATTAAACACACACATTATGCTTAGGATGCGACTACAACTACGTCGGAGGAGGGCTTTGGCAGCGGGACGGGCGTTGGGTTGCTGCTCGGCTCCAGCTCGCAGATCGTGTAGTTCTGCATGCGGTTCACCGGCTTGCTACAGAGGCCGCACATTTGGTGCTTGTACACGCCATAGATCTCGAAGTTGAGGATGTTGTACAGGTCGAACTGGATGGTGGAACTTAGCTGCGTGCACTCCACGATCAGGATGTTTTGCTCGTTCAGCTCCACGCTGCATAATGGGGTGAGAAAGGATATATTTAAAGTTATATTGAACAAATATTATGTATGTATATATTTCTCACCGAAAATCGTAGTCGCTAGCCTCAAGGGGCCACTGGTAGGGCTTCTGGCGCACATCGTGCGGTGTTTGGTCCTGGTTGAGATAGATGAAGACCGGCTCAGTCGTGATGGGCTGGCTGCTGTTGGGTCTAGACTGCATATCAAAGAAATTCTGACCGATATGGACGCGCAATCCGAAGTTGCCGGCCAGGCCATTTTCGGGCGACGGAGTGATGAACACGGCCATTCGGGGTTGGGGCGAACAATCGGCCACCAGAAGGGTTAGGCACTGTGCGCGCGTCTCAATCTCCCTCAGATTTATAAGGTAATCATCAAAGGTGCTGACCATTCCGCTAATCACCGAGCAGGACCGCTTCAGACCCGAGTCGTAGGTGAGTTCGTGGGAGGCGTCGAACTTGGAGTCCAGCTTGTACAGAAAGGGGATCTGGTGGAAGCGCCACTTGGCCCCATTTACCTCTACCGCCAGCCTGAAGTAGTCATGGGGTGTATGCATGGAGATGTTGATCTCCTCACCCATGTGCAAGCTATCCACTTTGTCGGCGGATAAGGCGGATACCAGGTGATCCAGACGGTTGGACCACAACTCAAACCAGGCGGGCATCTATTAGGAATGGATAAAGGTGATTTATTTTAAAGTGTATGTAAATATTGGTCTAATATCTCTTACATTATTGAACTTCAGGTCCATGTCATACTGTGTGATCGACGTGAAGTTCTCGAAATTGCTGCGCTTGCAGTACTTGGACGTGGGAATGGGCGAGAACTTCAGCACCTCCTTGGGACAAAAGTCGATGTCGGTTAGAGAACTCTTCTCGGAGCTCAGAAAAGCACGGGCATGCTCCGATGGCTGGAATGATGAATATAATTAACTCCCATTCGGCCATCCCTTGCTCCAGTCCTTGTACTTACCCCAGCACGTGCTGCAAACTGCACCGCGGACCCATTCTCCGGGCACTCACCCTCCGCCGTGGCCACGCCGAACACAACATTGCCGTTAAGCGTGTGAGGTCGTTTGGTGAACACCAGAGGCTCATAGGTCAACTTGGTACAGGCCTACGGAGATAGAAAGGTAAAAGTGTACAGGAGTGATAAATAATTTGAATTGAACTGCGAAATAATGCTTTCTATATTTCATAGTTTGGGCGCACGAAAGCCCAATTACTTATTCATTTCCTAAAGATATTTTAAATAATTTTAGACTGCTATCCCTGTACCCCCAACTGTGTGTTGTTTCCCTGCATTTGAAGCTACATAGCAGTAAGTCAACAATGGACTTGAGTCCCGACACGAGTCAAGTGCTCTCATTAGGCGGCGGGCTTGACACCCTGTACTTGTCTTGCGATGGGTACAATGCCGTCCAACAGTGTAGAGACAAGACGGTTAGGATTTAATGCTGGGGAGTCCATCAGGGAGGCTCTCATTACCATGACGAAACGGCAGACAATGGGGCCACAACAACTGTGGCAACGATTAGCGGACCCATACACATCCTGACTGCCAGCCGCCCACCTTTCGTCCTGCGTGCCAGTTTATTACACAAGGCAAGCACCCATCCAGCCATCCACCCACCCAACCACTCGAGCAGTTGCCGCAATTGGTGGCCCACTTTCCGGGGGAAGTATGCGTCCTGAACCGAGTATGGCAACCGGACTGAGTGGAGCAGGCAGGCAGGTAGGCCTCGCGTCGTACGTCGCCTCGTTTGATCAATACGGCTCCGAGGCAGGGCTCAGGCGTAGAAGGCAGTCAGTAACGATACCGTTCGGACGAATTTCTCTCGTCGTAAACTTTTGGGAAAAATTTTCAATATATTTTTGATTTTGTAAGGACGCGCCAAAAATCCGAAAAAAAAACTCAAGTGTTGTCGACAGACTTTCGGACCTGCCTATCGACTGAGCATTCCCCGTTGCGTTGTGTTATAAATTTTTGTTTACTTGTCTTTACCTTAGACTCGGACGTTTTGCAAAATGACTTCGGTAAGAGGAGAGATATACCTAGCTTTTGCTATTGCATCTATATAGGTATTCCGTGATTTTTGAACAGATTGAATCGAAACGCGTGCAATACCGCAAGTATTTGGAGCGTGCTGGGGTCATCGACGCCCTGAGCAAGGCACTGATCAAACTATACGAAGAGCAGAACAAACCCGAAGATGCCATCCGTTTTGTGCGTAAGTTTATGTGCGAAAGCTGTCCGGATGATGCCCAGTACGATGTCATGAAGAACGACCTCGAAGAGGCCAAGGTGCACATAACAAAGCTGGAGCAGGAGCTAGAGCGTTTGCGCGGTCAAATGTAAGTATTTAAGACTGGGTTTAGTCCTACTTCCGATGCGACATTAGTGTTGATCTTTAAGAGGATTTAATCCTATATGGATTGGACTAATGTGCCTCTTTTGATTCTACATTACAGCAAAAAGTCACCGGAGGAGTACCAGGAGCTCACTATTGCCGGCTATAAGTCCCTCATGGATGATGAGGAGAACGTCAGTTCTCTGCTGCGCAAATACCTCACCCCCGAGCTTTTGGAGGAGTACATGCTGGTCACCACCTCGGCTCCTGTGGACGCCTACCTATACGATTGCGCTGTGACTGGATTTGAGCACCACGAAACCCCTGTGGGCTTATACGCAGCGGATGCAGAGAGCTATGACGTCTTCAATAAACTCTTTGACCCCATTATCAAGGACTACCACGGTCAGCTGGAGAACGATAACGATGTGCTCCAGAAGGATGCTGACTTTGGCAACGTGGATGAGATTGAGAACTTGGATCCGAACCGCAAGTACATCTTCTCTGCGCGCATTCGTCTCGCGCGAAACATCGAAGGTTTCCCCTTCTTCCCAAAACTCACGGAGAAACAGTTTATCGAGGTGGAAGACCGAGTGCGTGCGGCTACTGAAACGATGGACGGTGAGCTCATCGGTTCCTACCTGAAAATAGGGGACATAGATGCCGAGACACAGGCAGAGATGGTCAAGCGACATATACTCTTCCAGCGCGGCGATGAGCAGCTGACCACCGCTGGTTGCTATCGTTTTTGGCCGACTGGTCGCGGTGTCTACCATAATCCAGCCGAAACTTTTATTATTTGGGTTAACCGTGAGGACCATGTGCGCATCATGTCAATGGCGCCATGCGGTGACTTTGGTGACGTCTACAACCGCCTGGTCAACGGTCTCCAAGAGCTTGAGAAAAGCCTAACTTTTGTGCGCCACCCGCGTTATGGCAACCTCACGGCCTGTCCCACCAATGTGGGCACCACACTGCGCGCTTCTGTCCACATCCGCTTGCCGCTGCTGTGCAAGGACCCCGACCGCCTGCTCGCCCTCGCCGATGAGCTGCAGCTGCACATACGCGGACATGACGGTGAACTTGCCAACGAAGATGGCGTATTGGAAATATCGAACAAGCGACGTCTCGGCTATACAGAATTCGAATTGGTCAAGACGCTCCAGGATGGCGTTGTCGCCTTGATCAATGCAGAGGAAGAGCTCGAGATAGCCGGACAGGAGGGTTAGATGCCCGACCACTTTACAGCCGCAAAAACGATACCGATTCCACCACCACAAATAATTACAAACACAGACAGAAACGACTGGAGGAGCATCTCATCTTTGGTTAAATAAATTCGTCCCGTAGTCTAAAGAATCAATTATACTCACCTTCCAGTCTTCCTCATCGTCCTTGGAATTCCGCTGTATCTGTCCAATCACCTTAAACCAGTTGGATTTTGTTGAGCCCTGGACGTCCAGGGTGATGTTCCACCTATGTAGAGCATCTATATGGGCTGGCTCCTCACCAGGATGCGTCTCCAGGAGGTTATCCGTGTGCTCCAGGGTTAGGCCAATCAACTTTCCCTTAAGCTCAGAGGTCTTTAAAACATCTTCCGTACAAAAGTTGCCCTCGATCTAAAAGGGGTTTTCAATCAATCATTATTATTGTATAATTAAGTAGGCTTTGGATCTCACTCTGGTGGCCTTTTCGTTGTATAATAGCATGGTAAAGTTCCTATCGTGTCCAAGGTGGATGGAGCTCAGTTGGGTGAAGCCAAATACGTACATAAGGATACTGACGACCATGTTGCCGGAGAAACCACTGCAAGCAAATGGAAGGTGCAAACGTTACAGGGCAAATGATTATAATATATGCAAAACAAGTACTTTTCTGTAAACTCGGACTTAAGTAGCATCCCTCGGTACTTTATCAGTTCATTGAGATTGGTGTGGATGCCCATCTGTACTCCAAAATCGGGCATTGAGTAGTTGAAGAGCTGAACCTGATATGGGATTATAACTCGAATCACTCTGGCTTAATTTTTATTATTAAACACTCACCACATCGTTTCGGCTCTCAGGCAGCATGATCTCCTCGAAAGGTGCCGCCGCTGTCTTGGTTATCAGACCCCTGGTCTTGGTCACAGCTCGCGATTTAAAGGACAGGCCGCTGGTCAGGTTCTGGGGCCTTGAGAAGGAGTAGCGCCTGCACTTACTGCCGCTCTCATTGAGGTTTAGTTCGCTGCTAAAGGGGATATAGATGAGGAAGCCCTGCTCCCGGTTGATCTCGTGGTCCAGGTTCAGGAACGGATTATAGCTGCGACTGCGCACTGAGGCGTACGATGAGTATCGGGCGTCGATCTCCAATGTGTGCTTCGATATCGGCGGAGTACGTTGCTCGGTTATATTGCCGCGCAGCGAGGTCAGCACCGTAGTCTGCAGCAGGACGTCAGAGGATGTGCCCAGCACAGTGGGTACGGAGTAGCGATTCATAAACGGCCAGCGAACCGTCTGCATATTGATGTGACTGTCTGTCCGTATAATCTGCTGCATCCGCTCCAAAACTGAGAGTGTAACAAAATGATTATCCAATTGGGAGTCAAGATACCGGGTTACTATACTTACTGTTGTCGTAGGTCAGTTGGTGGAACATGCGCTGATTGAGGTAGTACGAAAGCACCGTCTTGCCCTCCATTTGCAGGATAAACTCCAGGTGCAGGTCCTTAGAGTTGACGATTGGTGCTTTGAGCATGGCTAGCAACGTCTTTATGCTCTTAAAAGTGAACGGTTCGGTGCCATTCCTCGACTGCATCTTGCTCAGGATGGTATCCGGCAGACCACGTGCCTTGATGTATAGCTGAAAAATTATGGATTGGGATTAAGGTTACTTCTTTACTTGAATGGTTTTTGTCCCATTAGGTTCACTCACCGCTAGTTGTCCCGTGAACTTGCCTAGTGCCTCGGTATCAAACTTGAAGAACGCCACCACTGGCATGTCCGACTTCGGATCGCCCACGAGGAAGACCTGTAGCATTGCTCCAATTCCGAACTTTGAGTCGCGGTAGTCGAAGATGTAGTTACCGGTGACCCAATAGCGTGGCTCTGGTTTCTTGGGCAAATGGCGGTGCATGTAGGACAGTAGGCGGCGTCTGGATGAATCATTGTTAGACTTAAATGTACTTTGGTTAAGTGGAAAGGAGGATAACTTGCAGCTTTTGGTAGCAGGGATATGTTGTCTCCGATATGCTTGTCACCGTCGTCCGGTAATAGTTGATCATGTGCGGATCCGTCTCGCTCTGGATGATCCGATGAATGCTGATCAGACGAGCAGCAGTGGGATTAGAGATTAGCAGCAGAGTGACTGCAGCCACTCTGAGTTCCAGACTGGCATTGCGTGACTCAAAGATTGGCCAGTATATCTCGTAAATGCGCTCTGCTCGACTGTCTGCCAGCGCCAGTGTCGTCCAGGCTGCCTGGAACTTGAGGTCCTCGTGCTCATTGGGATCCTGGACAATGGGCTCCAGGTAGTCGGCCACGTTGCCTAACTGAAGGTTGTTCAGACCCTGCAGATACAGCATCTTCTGATCGAAGTCGCGATCACCTGTAAACCGATGGAATAATCATTATCATCTCACTTATATTTAATCAAAATTTAAAGGACATTAAAAGATTAGTTAGAAGTCAACTTACTTAGGTAGGCATTGAAATACTTCTGTACATACTCCTCAAACTCTTCCTTGTCGATGCCTTTGGCTACGTACACATTGTGGATGAGGGTGGCATAGCTAAGGATGGCTGCTTGTCGCACATCTGAGCGATCCGGCCCAATCTTGAGGAAGTCCTCGCACTTGTGCACCAGCTCCGCGGACAGTTCGAAGATGTGAAAGGGCATTGGAATAAGTAGCTGCACTGCAATCTGCGATTTGGTCATCTTGTTCACTACGATGTGGTGTGTGAGAAAGACCGAAGCTTTGGTTCCGATGCGTGGTATTATTTCGTGAAAGATATTTCGGATTGTCTCCTGGCGATAAGAAGTTCCAATATCCACCTCGCGGTAGAGCTTTGTCAGCGAATCAAAGTCCATCTCGCTGAGTAGCTTGATCACGTCCGAGAGCGTTGAATCGTACGGTTCCGAGAACTTAAATTCCGTGGTCTCGAGACCCTCCGCCAAAATGTCCAGCAGAGACCCCGCCTGGGCAACCAGCGTTTCCTGCTGCTGAGGGTTCCTTCCGCCGGTCGGATCGTTGGGATCCAACGGCTGTAATTCCAGATTGGAGGGCTCTGGCCCCATTGAGGTTTCAATATCGATGGGATTATCTATGGGCGTCTCGTTCTGGAAGTTTAGAAGCAGCTCCGAGTTGATGAACTGCGCCTCCCCTGTGGACTCGAATGTGTGGATCAAGGTGGTACCCTTGGCGTGGGCCGTGCTCAAGAAATATCCGGTCTCGTTGTGCGGCAGCATTCCGTAGACGGCCTCGTTGCCGATGATTACGCTCTTCTGGTGGTCATACTCGCATGTATTCGGTGGCACATTGCTCCGGGTGGTGTGCACAGCCTCCGAGTAAGGCTTGCAGGTCTTCAACTCCGGCGTCTTGCGGATGGAGATGTAGCTGGTCTTGTTGGACACAAAATACTCAGTGCGGCAGGTGCCATGAATACCAAGCTATTGGTAAAAAAATAAAAGTTAAGAGAAGGAAGGCATTTGTAATTAAATTGATTGAATGATTGTAATTTAATTGATACTAATACATAGTAAGGAAGTGAGGACCCCATGCTTACCTCATCCACGACAAAAGCCCCACTGGACTTCATCTGGAACTGGAGCACCGAGGCAATGGCCCGCTTGAAGTTCATGCTCCAAATGGGATCTGCCTCCTTGAAGACCACATGGGAGATGGCGCCCTCCGGGGTGAGGACTATCTTGAAGGGCTTGTAGGGCGGATACATCTCCTTATTTTGCAGGAACTTCTCGCCGGAGTTGTTGAGCGTAACATCGTCGATGACCAGCTGGAAAAGAGAGCGAATGCGTCGATTAGCCGGGAAAGCCCGCGATGCTGTAATCTCCCATCGACCAGAGAGAGGGTCGAGCCCAACTGAGCCGGCTGATAAGTCGTTTATCTGGGAAACAGAAATTAGTCAGATCGGCGATCGGCGCACACATGCCGCCATCTCCGCCAGGTCCCGGAGATGCCTGATAAGCTAGGGCTACTCCTAGAGTCGCACTGCTCAGTCAAAACAATCAGGGCCGATTACCCACACACAGAGGCCGCCGCACTCAAAGGAGGGAAGGGGATATACGATGATGCGGCTGTGTGTATTGGCATTATCTGTGGGGGCTCAATGGAAGAAGTTCACAGCCGAGTTCAGTTCATTGTGAGCGCGGCTGCGCTCCTCCTCCTCCTCCTGGCTCTCTCTGTGAAAGGTTAAATTGTCTTTAATTCATCTGCGAATTCTTTTTCTGCGTCTGTGGAGTCAGAGAAGACGACACACTGGGAAGAAAGGGCTGTGGAGCGGGCTCCAGAATGCGCTGATTGAATCGTACAAATTGATAATGAAATCAATAAATTGATTCGATTTTTCACTGATTTTCAATTGATTTCCATATGAGTGTGTGTCCTATATGTTCATACCGATGCGTACATATATAAATAATTGTAGAAAAGTGATCACATTTTTTCTTTTGTATAAACAAAAATATTTTTATATTCCAAGTGGAATTAAAATAATCATCGACCGGGTCGTTGGAGATCATCCGAAACATTTCTTATACGCTTCCTTATAATCCAAGGAACTGGTGCTCTCTCCTCAACATAAAATAACTTACCGCCGCTGCCAGGACCAGCTCGCTTTGCCTCTGAAGCGTTAGCTTTCCGCGCACTATCCAGCCGGAAGTGGGTGGCGAGGGATGGCCCTCGTCCTGGGGCTTCGCACCCACCAGGACATTGCCCTCATAATCGTACAGCATCTGCTTGTTGAGGCCAATGATGCTGAAGGCATGGCCACCGGTGTCCAAGATCAGGAAAAGATCTGTCAGATAGATAGATAGATAGATGTAGATGAGAAATTGAAGTTCAATTCGATAGATGCTCCTCCCTTCCACAGCCGCAGTCCCCTGCCTCGATCTGTCGCATTCTGGCGCGGATGGGCAATAAACTCTTCAATTATCAATTGAATTTCGTTCTTATATATACAATATATACTCGACGTGCATGTGTGTATATAGAGTATATATGTATACAATATATGAATATGATCGCAAAACGCTTTAATCAATGTTGCTCCTCGGCTTCTTTTTTGATGCGCGCTCGTCAATGAATCATTACGTCATGTTCCTGAATTAATTTCTGATATAGTTGGGATTATCAACTAGGTTACTCTGGCTCTCTTCTCACGTACACAAGAACACCGAACACTTGAATCGCCTCATGGCCGCCTGCACAGCTTCCTTCCGAGGTCGCGACACTCTCGGTTTTTTTCACAGTTTTCCCGACGGTTTCCACTCCGCGTATACAGCTACTAATGCAATAAACGGGTATATATATGTATATATGTATATATACTATCAGATATGTTTCAAAGAGGCCGCCGCTTTTCCTCCTTTATCGCCAGCGCGTCTCTAGTTCCCAAAACACAACTCAACGTCTGCTCCGTTCGCGATCCAATTCGGACTGAGGCTGCCAACGATCCAAACTCGGACTGAGGCTGCCAGCGATCGGATTTAATAGCCGGAGTGCTGGCCTTGCTGGAGGTTCTGCTGATAAGCATCATCGCTCCCAAGAGCGTCTTGACTCTCTCTCTTACAACCTGAGGAACCTGCTCTCGAGGGACGTCCTACAAAATTGATTTGATTTAGAGCATAAATTGTTTCAATACTGTGGTCTTCTTGAAGCAGATAAATAAATACCTAAGTGTATATGTTTCCTGGGCCTAATAATTTAATATTCTTTCCCAGAAAGTACTTATCTTTCAAATGCTATTGGTGTAAATAAGCCAACCGTAAGCCGATAAAGAATATTTCAGGACAGCAGCAGCTAAAAATAGAAAATGTTGTGACACCGTAATGATTAAAAACGCATTCAAAAGCTCCAAAAAGATTGTCTATAAAAATCTATGTTATTTATTTGTATAAGAGTAGCGTATATGATTACTTATTGACGAACTTGGACTTGCACGAACGTCTTATACGTAACAAAACAATTTACCTCAAATCACATGGAGACAGGAATAACAAAAAGTATTTTGTGTTTGTTCTTAGCCTTAGCGCGCTCCACCATGAGCATGTCCTGCCCTGAAGTGGGCAACACCCGTTCCAGCACCACTTGGTCCAGCCCCACATGGTCTGGCCGCTCCACCAGCGCCACTGCGTTTCTCTGCGCTCGATTCCTCACTAGCGTCTCCATTGTCGGAGCTCTGCTCCGCATCTAGATTCTTTAGCTGTTGCTGCCACATATCCGCATATATGCCTTCCTCGCGAAGGACTAACTCTTCGTGTCTACCACGTTCCACAATGCTTCCCTCCTTCAGCACAAGGATCTCATCAGCATGGATGATCGTAGAAAGCCGATGGGCCACAATAATGGTAGTGCGATTGGCGCAGACCCGGGCTAGGGCAGCCTGAATATTGCGCTCTGTGTGAGTATCCAGAGCGGAGGTTGCTTCATCTAGCAACACAATTATGGGCGCCTTCAAGAGGGTTCTGGCAATTGCCACACGCTGCTTTTCGCCTCCACTGAGTCGGAGACCTCTCTCACCAACCTTCGTTTCGTAGCTGTCCGGGAAACCGAGAATTCTCTCGTGAATATCGGCGGCGCGAGCAGCCTCGTAAACGGCGTCGGCGGAGGCGCCCAACTTCGCGTACTCGATGTTGTAGAAAATGGTATTGTTGAACAGAACCGTATCCTGAGGCACCACTCCAATGGCCTTCCGCAGGCTCTGCTGCTGCACCAGCTTGATATTCTGGCCATCTATCAGAATGGCTCCCGTCTGCACATCGTAGAAGCGGAATAGCAACCGCATGATCGTACTCTTACCTGCTCCAGAGGGCCCCACAATCGCCACTGTTTTGCCGGCGGGCACAGAAAAGTTCACGTTTCGCAGCACCACCTTTTCTGGCGAATAACCAAAGGTTACGTTGGAGAACTCGATGCCACCGCCGGCGGTAAGCAATGGCGAGCAGCCCGGCGCGTCCACAATCTCCTCCTCCTCACGCAGCAAATCAAACATGTTCTCCATATCCACAAAGTTCTTCTGGATGGCCCGGTAGTAGGTGCCGAACCAATTCAGCGGCATGTAGAGCTCCATGAGATACGTGGAGAAGAGAACGAAGTCACCCACGGTCAGCGTCTGGTGGTGGACCACCAGATAAACGCAGAGCAGGGATCCGGCTAGCAGGCCTAGGCACAGGATTATGTTTTGGGCGGTGTTCAGCATGTTGAGGGTCAGCATGGACAAGAACTCCTCCTTCTGGTACTTCAGAATGGCCTCCCTATAGCAGTCTACCTCGTAACGCTCCGCTCCATAGTATTTGACTGTTTCAAAGTTCAGCAGAGAGTCTACGCTGCGAGCACGCTGTTCGTTATCCGCCAGGTTCATTCTCCTCTGGTATTTGGTACGCCACTCCGTTATAGCAATGGTTGAGGCTGTAAAGTATAACCAGATTCATTAGAATACAGAAAACCAATTAGGACAGCAATGAATCCTTACCTATATACAGGAACATGGTGAGGAAGACGATAAGTCCGAACCACCAATTAAAGGCGTATATGAAGAAAGCAACCGCTACAAGCAAATCCAAAATTGTAGGTGTAATGGAGAATACAATGTAGTTGAGCAAATTGTTGATCGAGTCCGTGCCACGATCCATGACTCGCAGCACTTCGCCCGTCTTTCGCTGCAAGTGCCATCTCAGCGAGAGTTGATGCAGATGCTGAAATAGCTCAATCTCAATCTCACGGGTCGTGTATTGCTGCACTCTTATCCATAGGAAAGTGCGCAGATTATTAAACAATCCCATGCCCCCCGTGCCGCCGCCTTGTAGGAAGGACAGAGCCACATAAATTAGCACAAAGTCCCAGCGGAAGATGATCGGCTCAATGGTCAGACTGTCCACTATAAAGGCAAGAGATTAGCATTGCATGATTCAACGTAATATGCTTCCGCACAAAACCTGACCTACCCAACTTCTTGCGATAAATCGGCAAAAACAGCTTTATGACGCGACCGGCAATCAGCAGAATAATACAGACGATGACGGCCAGTTGCAGGGCCAGATCCTTCTTGGGCCACAGGTAGGGGAAGAGAGTCCGTAGCTTTCGCCAACCGTTCCTGAAAGCCGATCCCGTCGGAACGTTTCCTTCTGATTCATTAGATGTGTCGTTGTCGAGTCGTTGGTGTGGGTTGTACGGCGCCATGATGCCAGGGGCCTTCAGACCCAGGACAAAGATCAGCAGCGAGCAGAGGAAGCGGGTGACAAACAGGCCCATCTCAATTTGATCCTTGTTGCTGTAGTAAACATAAATAAACTAAAGTTAATCATTCACACAAATGATGATTTGCAGCAGCTCACGTTTTTAGATGGAACCACCAGTCCTCGTGTCGTAAATTGATGAACGCCAGCGACTCGTTGATGAAGGCCAGAGTCCAAAACAGTAGCAGAATAAGCCCGTGTCCACGTGTGGGCGTCGAGGGCAGCTGATAGAAACGCTCCTTCAATATCAGGCAAATGCTGAACGGGTAGCAGAAGCATACAATGCTGGTGGAGAATATCTGTATGGGAATAATGTTACAAAGCGCATTCGTTTCCTGGTTTTTATCCACACTCACCATGTACCCGTACACCGTACTGTCAGTATAAATACGTGCATTGAGGAGGAACCGTATCGCTGCTAGTATTGGGAGCAGGAGCAGCAGGAAGAGCTGAAGCGCGAACAACCTCGACCGGGAGATCTGCGTGGGGTCTGTGATTCGGGTGGCATACTTCCGGTACATCAGCAGCTGGATGCAGCCGAAGAGCAGCAGGAACCCGCCGTAAACGGCCGGGCCAACTGTGTCCATGAAGCAGTGCGAGATGCCATGTTGCGTCCACACCTCGCTGAGGGTAACGTTGGGCGGGCAGTAGCGCATGGTGGTGTCCGTGTAGCGCGACGATAAGCTCTGATAACTCCGATGGAAACGTGCCCGATAAAGTGGAGCTGTGACTGGAACAGCCCGAACAACAATTGCTTTGTTATATGGGGGCGGTTATTTCGCAACTAATCACCGAAATTATCAGTTGGCACCGGGAGGGAAACCACTTTTTTCAACCCGGTACGCTGATGATGAGTTAATTTATTTAGTGAATTGCAGCACGGCACCAAGAGTTCCGGAGTTCATATCCGCGGAAAGTTGCAATTCATCCAAGACATTGGCTATGTAAAATTATGCAACGCTTTCTTTGCTGGCTGTCTGGGATAGTTTGTGAGCTTCTCCACAAGCTCCCTCGCCGCCAAGGACACGCTTTAGATAAAGCAACACCAACAATTATTTTTATTAGATAGGGATAAATAAAAATTATGATAACACAGAAACTAGAGTTGTTGGAAATATAAATATATCAATATATCGATATTTTTTTCTCAAAATGATATTGGTCAAATATCGATGTTGCTGTATTTTATTTTGATATTATCAATGATGGTATCAATGTTTTAAAAAACTTGCTGTTATTTACAATTTTACATCTTACACGTCTCATGTAGGAAATAAAATTCATTACAGATCATTACAGAAAGAGCGTAAATTAAGAAAATTGTTTCTCGATGGCTGTCGGGTGCAAGACTTCCGCTTCAGCTTTTTTCCCGCCCAATATGGATTTTTGGGAAAAATAGCTACATTGGTAACTCTAGCCGAAAACATATGATTAGGGGTGGGAAAAATGAAATGTTTTTCGATGTTTCAATAAAATTCAATATAATATAAATAATAATAGGATCTAAAGGAAATCGATCATAACTAAGCGTAATAATATTCGAATTATCTGAATTAATATTTATCGACATTGTTAAATGACATATTATTTCGACAAACAAAATTGGAATAAACTGATAACTAAACCAAATGATAATTAATTTTAATTCGTAAGCCGTTGCTGTGTTAGTTTTAAACATGCTAATAAACCTGCATCCCCAATTCAATAATATAGTCATCCCGGAAGACATCTAGCGGGTAATAAGCGAACAACTGCATTGCAACCTGAATTTCCGGTTAAAATTAGCGGAAAAGGATGCCATGTTTTGACACTTCTTCCTGTTGCTAATTAATTCAGCCAAAAAGATGCATTAATTCTGCTATTCTGTGGTACTGTTCTTATTAAAGCATACTTTCGCGGTGCACATAATATGGGGAATGTGTAAAATTTTAGCATACTGTTTTGGGCCAAGGTGATAAAGAAATTAAAAAAAGTTTATAATAGATCTTTATTGCTCGCTAAATCTTTTGCCTGTCAAACAAAATCGGGAAACGGACAAGTTGATTGAAGATTGTCGGGAAATTGAATCGATAGTCTTCTTTTTATTCTCATTTGAACATCCAACGGAACTGGTCATATAAAATTATTATAAAACTGCTATTGGAACGATCGGAATATTTAAAGATTTAAATTTTACTTTGATATATAGTAACTTTTAATAACTTAAAAATATCAGCTTCTACTTTCTGAAAATTGGACCTCTAGCTGGCATAAGAAAATATAGAGCTGTAATAGTAAATATCCAATAATTATATAAATATATGTATAAATAATAAAACAAATTGAATTTTGCTATTTCTAACATATACACATAAGCCCTGAAATATTAATATTTAAATATTTCAAAATCTAATAATAATTAGATTATAAGATCATACCGGAAATCGATCATAACTAAGTTTGAATTTTTCGCATTACAAGATTAAAAAACGCATAACTTAACCAAAAATGCATTAAATTTAATTCGGAAAGCTTTCCTATGTTAGTTTTTATTATGATACTTAATCTACATACTCAATTTCTAATTAAAATAATTCAAAAGTTCAATTATAGAGTCGGAAATGATTCTTTCATAGTCTTATAAGATTCTGTTTAATAAGTAATAAGTAATGCCCTGCAAAAAGGTATAAAAACTGGCAAATTTTTCGAATAATCAAAGTTTTGCAAACACCATAATTAAGCCAGAAATGCATTTATTTCAAATCGGAAATCCGTTCTGTGTCAGTTTTAACAGCGCTAACAAATCTGCATACTGCGTTTGTTGATGCTGTTAAAAGATTCTGATTAAAATTATAATAACCTGTTAAAAGGTATAAAAACAGGCAATTTTTAGGTATTCAGTGTTTTTCAAACATCGTAATAAAGCCAAAATGAGTTAGTTTCAATTCGGAAAGCTGTTCTGTGCTAATTTTTATAACGCTAACAAATCTGCATACCGCGTTTTTAAATTTAAAAATCTCAATTTTTGGTTAAATTTTGACAATTTTAATGATGTAACCCCTTATCGTTTTTTGATATTTTGAAACAAAATGCAAAAATTGATTTTTCCACTAGACGTGGCTAGATCGATTCAGCTGCTCATTCTGATCTAGAATATATATGATTTATAGGGTCGGAAATGATTCCTTCATTGTGTTATAAGCTTCTGATTAATACTAATACCCTGCAAAAAGGTATAAAAACTGTCAATTTTTTCGAATAATCAAAGTTTTGCAAACACCATAATTAAGCCAGAAATGCATTAATTCCAAATCGGAAAGCTGTTCTGTGTCAATTTTAACAGCGCTAACAAATCTGCATACGCGTTTGTTGATGCTGTTAAAAGATTCTGATTAAAATTATAATAACCTGTTAAAAGGTATAAAAACAGGCAATTTTTTTAAGTAATCAGTGTTTTTCAAACATCATATTTAAGCCAAAAATGAGTTAATTTCAATTCGGAAAGGTGTTCTGTGCTTACTTTTATAGCGCTATCAAATCTGCATACCGCGTTTTTTAATTTAAAAAATTCCATTTTTGGTCGAATTTTGATAATTTTAATGATGTAACCCCTTATCGTTTTTTGATATTTTGAAACAAAATGCAAAAATTGATTTTTCCACTAGACGTGGCTAGATAGATTCAGCTGCTCATTCTGATCTAGAATATATATGATTTATAGGGTCGGAAATGATTCCTTCATTGTGTGATAAGCTTCTGATTAATACTTATACCCTGCAAAAAGGTATAAAAACTGGCAATTTTTTCGAATAATCAAAGTTTTGCAAACCTAATAATTAAGCCAGAAATGCATTAATTCCAAATCGGAAAGCTGTTCTGTGTCAGTTTTAACAGCGCTAATAAATCTGCATACTGCGTTTGTTGATGCTGTTAAAAGATTCTGATTAAAATTATAATAACCTGTTAAAAGGTATAAAAACAGACAATTTTTTTAAGAAATCAGTGTTTTTCAAACATCATATTTAAGCCAAAAATGAGTTAATTTCAATTCGGAAAGCTGTTCTGTGCTTACTTTTATAGCGCTAACAAATCTGCATACCGCGTTTTTAAATTTAAAAAATTCAATTTTGGGTCGAATTTTGATAATTTTAATGATGTAACCCCTTATCGTTTTTTGATATTTTGAAACAAAATGCAAAAATTGATTTTTCCACTAGACGTGGCTAGATCGATTCAGCTGCTCATTCTGATCTAGAATATATATGATTTATAGGGTCGGAAATGATTCCTTTATTGTGTGATAAGCTTCTGATTAATACTTATACCTTGCAAAAAGGTATAAAAACTGTCCATTTTTTCGAATAATCAAAGTTTTGCAAACCTAATAATTAAGCCAGAAATGCATTAATTCCAAATCGGAAAGCTGTTCTGTGTCAGTTTTAACAGCGCTAACAAATCTGCATACGCGTTTGTTGATGCTGTTAAAAGATTCTGATTAAAATTATAATAACCTGTTAAAAGGTATAAAAACAGGCAATTTTTTTAAGAAATCAGTGTTTTTCAAACATCATATTTAAGCCAAAAATGAGTTAATTTCAATTCGGAAAGCTTTTCTGTGCTAACTTTTATAGGGCTAACAAATCTGCATACCGCGTTTTTAAATTTAAAAGGCTCACATTTTGGTCGAATTTTGACAATTTTAATGATGTAACCCCTTATCGTTTTTTGATATTTTGAAACAAAATGCAAAAATTGATTTTTCCACTAGACGTGGCTAGATCGATTCAGCTGCTCATTCTGATCTAGAATATATATGATTTATAGGGTCGGAAATGATTCCTTCATTGTGTTATAAGCTTCTGATTAATACTAATACCCTGCAAAAAGGTATAAAAACTGTCAATTTTTTCGAATAATCAAAGTTTTGCAAACACCATAATTAAGCCAGAAATGCATTAATTCCAAATCGGAAAGCTGTTCTGTGTCAATTTTAACAGCGCTAACAAATCTGCATACTGCGTTTGTTGATGATGTTAAAAGATTCTGATTAAAATTATAATAACCTGTTAAAAGGTATAAAAACAGGCAATTTTTTAAGTAGTCAGTGTTTTTCAAACATCATATTTAAGCCAAAAATTAGTTAATTTCAATTCGGAAAGCTGTTCTGTGCTTACTTTTATAGCGCTAACAAATCTGCATACCGCGTTTTTAAATTTAAAGAATTCCATTTTTGGTCGAATTTTGACAATTTTAATGATGTAACCCCTTATCGTTTTTTGATATTTTGAAATAAAATGCAAAAATTGATTTTCCACTAGACATGGCTAGATCGATTCAGCTGCTCATTCTGATCTAGAATATATATGATTTATAGGGTCGGAAATGATTCCTTCATTGTGTTATAAGCTTCTGATTAATACTTATACCCTGCAAAAAGGTATAAAAACTGTCCATTTTTTCGAATAATCAAAGTTTTGCAAACCTAATAATTAAGCCAGAAATGCATTAATTCCAAATCGGAAAGCTGTTCTGTGTCAGTTTTAATTGCGCTAACAAATCTGCATACTGCGTTTGTTAATGCTGTTAAAAGATTCTGATTAAAATTTTAATAACCTGTTAAAAGGTATAAAAACAGGCAATTTTTTTAAGTAATCAGTGTTTTTCAAACATCATATTTAAGCCAAAAATGAGTTAATTTCAATTCGGAAAGGTGTTCTGTGCTTACTTTTATAGGGCTAACAAATCTGCATACCGCGTTTTTAAATTTAAAGAATTCCATTTTTGGTCGAATTTTGACAATTTTAATGATGTAACCCCTTATCGTTTTTTGATATTTTGAAACAAAATGCAAAAATTGATTTTTCCACTAGACATGGCTAGATCGATTCAGCTGCTCATTCTGATCTAGAATATATATGATTTATAGGGTCGGAAATGATTCGTTTATTGTGTTATAAGCTTCTGATTAATACTTATACCCTGCAAAAAGGTATAAAAACTGGCAATTTTTTCGAATAATCAAAGTTTTGCAAACCTAATAATTAAGCCAGAAATGCATTAATTCCAAATCGGAAAGCTGTTCTGTGTCAGTTTTAATTGCGCTAACAAATCTGCATACTGCTGTTG